AGTGAGTGGAGAAATAGAGCGTGGACTCACTTTTTAACCAACCAGCATCTGCATTTACCTCTTAAAGTTGGTCACCGTTACATAATTGCAATGATGACATAAATCCAAGTCCGACAGAAAATGACAAATCCTTTTGTTGCCATTACTTTTTCATGTCTGCGTGGCAGCGGGTGAAGTAAAGTTTCATTCAATATTTAACACATGTGTCAAGAGCTGCTCCTCCCAACTCTACTGAGGATGACAGTCCCTTTTACTGCCACTCAGCTGGGTCTTCTGTGGGTGAGTGTGTGTGCGCTTTAAGGACATACATGTGCTTTTGTAATGTGAGCACATCCTCACAACATTACTGTACACAATCCTCTATGCATCTGCAACCAGTAAATAATCCATGAAGAGTAGTGGGTTCACTTTGACTGTCACTTTGCCTCCTTTAGTGTCTTGGCATGTAGGTCACACTGTACGCTCTGGTTACAGCTGATGCTTTTGACACTAATTCCAAGCAGTTTTACAGATGCAGACTTGATGATTATTAAGATCCACCATCACCAGTGGAGAACGGATATTGATATAATCCAGAAAACTGGCCAGATTAATGATGCTTTATTTGTGCCTCTGCTGGTGGATATCTAGAACTGCAGTTCAAGAGGGCCTGGAGCCTGAATGAAATGTAGTTCAGGGTTGAGGAATAAAACTATGGAAGTTTTTAACTTCAGAACCAAACTAAATGTTAAATTAGCTGATGCTGCTCTTCAAAAGGAATGAAAAATCTGGCACCTTGTAGCTTTTTTTTATAACACAAATAGTATTTTTGTGTGTACAGGACACCACATTTTTGTCCCGTGCTCATTTAATCTATATCTGGAGTATTTCACTATTTTGGACCTTCCTTTGTGAGTAGAAGTAGGATAGAAGAACAAAAAATATCAGCTGTCAAAGCTTTGAGCTGGAGCTTCTAAATTTGGAGTCACTTCAAGCAACTCATCGCCCCTGAGATTTTCTCTTGATGGCATACAGTAGTAGCTCTCAGTGTCTGTGTGGCTGCTCACACGTTGACGAGTGTTGGGAGGAAGTTGCGTTTACACAAGCTCCTAACAGCATTGTAATGAAGTCCTCTGGCGTCATTGTGGTTGTATGAAGGCTTCAGAAACAGTACACACCTTTACTTTTCTCTTAAATCTATGAGGCTGCAACAACTCCATCACATCTTTCACAATCTGCCAGAATATTCATTACAGTTGTGGTGAGGTGTGATTGTGCACAGCAGAAGCATCCACAGAGGCTTCATCAGACCGTCTGTAAATACATTTGTGACTGTTTGTGAACACTGGGTGGGGGAGGAAGCTGAGAGAAAGGGATATTACTTTATATCATCATTATAGACAGGAAGTAATGAGCATCCTAAAGCAGACTGCCAACAACAGAAGGCAAAAATACAATAACACGAGGCAGTCTGCACGCTCAGAGGGGGAATTTCAATAGAGATTATATGGATTTAGCACACTGCCTCCCTCATTGACTCTCTGCTTTGTGCATTTTCTGTTCTGGAAGAAATGCACACTAAGTTGTTTTTATTGCTCGGCACAGACAGAGGAGAGCGGGGTCACCTTCACACAGACCCCCTCAACAGGGCCAACAGACTCCTCCCGTCTTTAACGTCTTTATTTTATTCCACAGATGTGCGAGAGCTCAGTGAGAGGAAATCAACCATGTTGTAGACGACCATGTTAACTATTATCTATTGAGACAGTAACAATATTTGGAAGACATTTTAAACTTTTTAATTAAATACACAACACAGTGGCACCAGTAAGGAACACGATGGAGTGCTGGACTGGAGGAGCAGTTAAAAATCTGCACTCACACTCACACACACACACACACACACACACAACACACATAGAGAATAAGTTAATTAGACTGAATAGCTTCAGGGAATTGGCAAGTAAATCATGTTGGCTTTTTCTCCAAGCCCACAATGAAATTTAATTATGAAGTGAAACTTGTGATGGCAGAGTACACCTGCAGAAAGTCCAGACTGACTCCAAACCAAACCACTAAGTCTTCCTCACTAGAGCCTGAGTGAAGCCAAGCTGATATCAGCTGACCGCTATCAGTGTTTGTGTTGGCCAATAAGTAGAGACTTAGAAACACTGACGGCATTACTTTATCCACCAGAGAGTACTGAAGTTTATTTTTTAGACAGTAAAACACCCAGTTCAGTAAATATCTTTAAATTATTCTTTAAAAAACTAATTTGAAGCTGCGCTAATCAGTATTTTTATCTCTAAGGAGGATTTTAATGTCTTCTGGCTCCTTGTTTTGGTTTCATGGCCCACAGTTGTCCTGTTTTGGTTAAGTCGCACTGATCTCATCGGTGTCGTTTTCAGCATAAAAGCTCTAATAAAGCCGTTGATCGCCACCTGGCAGACAGACACAGTCAGCAGCGAGCTGGTGAACATTTAGCAAAACCAAAAAATAGTTGTGTTTTATGTGGGATTATGTGAGTGCTTCTTGTTTGGTGCAGTAACTTCCTGGAGTCTTATTGTTGGTGTAGGTGGAGTTTGTTGCTGTTTGACAGTCAGGCTAATGGTTTACCCCTGTTTCCAGTCTTTGTGCTAAGCTATCTAACATCTGCAAGCAGTAGCTTCATATTTACTGATGAGAGTATGGAGGACATAAACGGCCAAAATACAAAGTAAATAAATAAATGAATATACTATTAACTGCACCAAAAATCATATTACAGACAAATATAGGCATTAAATCTAATATGACATAAATTATATGATTTTTCTGTTTTAATTTGCTATGTATTTATTTACATTCCCATTTAATTTATTATTTTTTCACCAATGGGAGAATATTGCATAATAAAGCAAAAATACATACAAAAAAGTTCAAACAAGACACAGAAATAATGAATAAATTAAAAAAAGAAAATTAAATGGGAATGTACAAAAAACAAGGGGATGAATACAAAAGTAAATTAATATATAAGCAAATTAAAACTATTACTACATCACTTTATGTAATATTCATAAATGAATTAATGCCTATATTATATTATATTATATTATATCTATATATATAAAAACAAGGCAAAAGTTTTTTTTCACTCTGACTATAATCCTCACACACACACTGACACTTTATTATAATATAAAAGCTCACACATAGTTTATATATTCTTTCTCATCTCGTCTTCTCAGATGTTTTAAATATGGAGTCTATTAAACCAGGACTGCTGATCAAAAACATTAGCTGGTTATTACACAAGAGCTTCTTTAGACAAGATATAAGGTTTTGAATTGGACTCCTTTTTACTTTGACTCCCTGGTCAGCTGCAATCTGCAGTCATGTGCAGTTTGATCACCATCATTAGCATCATCATCCTCTTTCTTTCCCTTTTTCTCCCTCAACTACACCTTCATTTTGAAGAAAGCTTCATATCCAAACTGTTTGATCTCCCCGAGAGGGCTTTGGGGATTAGCTAAATGACTCTGCAGTTAGCTTTTAAATCACACAATGCCTCCCAAAAATAGTGTCCTCTCAGCTAATGCCTAATCATTGTGCTTGAGCAGTGATGGCTTAGCTAAGACTGAAAGACAGGAGTCAGCCTTGGCACTGCTGTGACCCATTTGTAGGATGCTGTTTGCCATCATCTTGGTGTGTATACGACGTGTATAAAAATAAAAAATGGACTGGAATAAGACAGTTGTTCTGATAAGCCTATCACTATCTCTAAACTAATTCCTTTAGCAGTTGATCGGCTCATGAATACTGGACAGGATTCTGCGCCACAGTTCTTGCTTTAAATCACCACAGCTTGGAAGAAAATCACTCTCTCAGTTCAGGATTAATTAGTCCTAATCTTGGGGCGTTTCCAATGGAGATTTTATATGAAAGAACCCCATACATCTTTGTCAGGAACAATCTATGTTAATTATATTAGAACTGGTGATTAGATTTCCCTCAGTTGTCTCCTTTATGACCATCAAGCAGCAATCAGTCTTGGTCATTACAGGCAGTTACTCAGTGTGACCACTAGAGGGAACTATTTACTATTGAATAGTTCTGGTAGATGTCCCCCCTCCACTTAAAAAATGTTTCACTGTGCAGAATGATTTATGTGAAGAGACTTGAAGGCTGTTTTAATATTAATCTGCTGTAGGTAGTTTTTAAGTTAACTTAGACAAATGTGCTGTTGAAATATAAGCTTGTAGGACACATACATTAACAAATGCACTTTCTAGTGAAGCCAGAGACTTCCTGTGTGCAACAGTTCAACTTTGACAAGAACATACATATTCATAGATTCCTGGACTTCTCAGAGAGACAGAGCAGTTTTACTTTTAAGAATTTTAAAGTAGTTTATTGATTATAAACTGATATGTTGTTTTTATACATCTTTGAACATTTCTACAGGGATTTTTCTACAACTACTTTCCCCCAAAGACTTCATTAACGATGCAAACATATATCCATTTCAGGCTTTCTGCTGCTCACTGTACCAAAAACTAAGAAAAAGGCATTAAGTGAAGCTGCTCTCTGTAGTTTCAGATCCAAACATAAACAGTAGTTTGATATTTTTAGTTTTTACTTAAACTGTAGAACACATTTCATGTAGGTTAACATATTTAATTTATCATCAGGGTATAAGATGGTCAAATAATAACTTTCAAAAGCAACTTCATGTTTTGTAGGTCTGCAGTGATACATCAACTAACCTGCGATTATTCTCTATTAATAATATTGTCTAAAAAATGACACATTAGGGAAAAGTATCTATTAAATGTGACATGAAAAGGTCTTTAAAAGATAAATATTAAATTTACATTGAAACAAAACAGAAAAAAATGCTACTTCTGACACCGGAGTCGAAGAACATTTGATATTTTATCTTTAAAACAATCAGTTGCTCTATCGGTCAAATGTTTTCCTGTTAGTAGAAACAAAAACATTCACACAGACAAAAAAAAACACCACATGAGAGCAAAGTGTTTATTGCATAAGTTGCCATGGTTTTACCACAGCAGCTCTTTTATTAGCAAAATCATGGAGATTAGTCCACTAATGTGCCCGTCCAATGACAACAGAGGGTTGGGGTATAGGGGGGATATGTAACTTGAAACCATCACAGATCATGATCAATAACAGTGCCACCTAACCGTCTGTCTACGCACTGAACACAGATCTACATATGGTCCTACTGTCTGCTACAAGGCCGCCATTGGCATCCTCTTATCAAAGCTTCTCTTTACGTGATTCAATCAGGAATGTTACAGTTTGTAGCGGCGCACCAACAACGTGCACTCATTAATTAGAGAGAGTAGCTTTTTTCTTTTTTCTTTTTGGTCGATTAGAAAAATAAAACTTTGATAGAGGATGACAAGTAGAGGAATAAAGTCCCTTTGTTTTATATTGTGCAAACATTCTCTCACACACACACACACACACACACACACACACACACACAATCACGCACACTCTCAGCACACATCCGAAAAGGTTTACGCACAGCTCTCACAGTATGTCAGAGTGAATTGGTCTACAGAGTGACTTGGTCTTGCTTGTTTGTCCAAGGAGGCAAAAGTTATGCGACAATGAAATAATCAAAGAAATAGATTATATGGACTGCAGAGGGTCGGGGGTCGGGGGCTCAACATCTACATAAACCTAACATCTAACTCAACAAAAAAGGAAACACTGCAACTAAGGCATGCAAGGCACAAGCACCTACAAACAAAAAGACAAAAAAGTGTTCAATCATGGACCAAAAAAAAAAAAAAAATGTCAAAGCCCCCCTTTTTATATAAAAATAATGATAATAAAGGTAAAACAAGCACATTTTAAAAACCGTGAAAAATCCCCCGCCGCAGACAGTTGTACAAATACTTTACACAAAATGTTTTTTCTACACACCGTCTTTAAAACTTTTAGAGATGAACATAAGTTAATAAGAGGTTAAAAGTGACATTCTCAGCAGGGTCCCTGAAGTTCCCTCCAGTCCGAGTCCCCTTGAACAAAGTCACTTGGTAAGCCGGCCGACCGGGTCGCCTGAGCAGAAAGAAGAGAGCAAACAAAAAGACGCCATGATTAGAGGAGACAAATGTGACAAACCCACAGCAGCTCGGCCCTGGAAGCGGCAGGCGTTACCTTTAGAAAAGGCCGCAGTCCTTCAGGTTGTTCTTGATGATGACGTCAGTGACGGCATCGAACACGAACTGCACGTTCTTGGTGTCGGTGGCACAGGTGAAGTGGGTGTAGATCTCCTTGGTGTCCTTCCTCTTATTCAGGTCCTCGAACTGGCACTGAATGTAAGCGGCTGCCTCCTCGTAGGTGTTTGAGCCTGAAGGAGGACATAGGAGACACAATTAGGAGACGCGCAGCACTGATGGACACCAATAAATTGTCGGTCAGCGGACTGGTTAGCAAAGGCACAGGTTTTTGTGTTTGCTGCATTAAAACTTTTACATATTTTTTGTTATCTGAAGCTGATTTACATGGAGGGTCTCTATAACATAGCTCTATATTTTATTATCTTAACCTACCCATCTTTAATTGTCGTATCTACATCATGTCAATAGCTAGTAACACACTTTGAATTGCCTTTGATTTGTTTTAAAAAGATGCTATATAAATAAACTTTAATTATTTGATTCCTTGCTTTCTCCATTAAAACACCTCTAGACAAATATAATTTTGCATGCACACTTATTGTATGCAAAGTAAGGACATTTCTACAAATGTTCTTCACAGTTTATACAATGACTAAGATATGGAGAGGTCGTTTATCTTTTGCTCACACAGAATCTGTGTCAAACAGGCTTCGATTTTGATGACACGTTCACATCTGTGAAATACGGGTATCAATAAGATGCATTGTTAAAACACGTAAAGCAGCCCACACAGTTCAAGAGTGCAGAGCAGAGAGGATGAAGAAATATCTTTGTGTCAGCTGTAGAGATTGCCACACCTTTGAGTCGGCAACAAGGGGCTATGGATGGCTGAATGTGACCTCAGTTTAAAGTCCAAAACCAATCACCACTAAAAAAAACTGTTTAACCCCAAGTTTCTACCCCTAGGGGTAGATTTTTTTTATTTTGCAGATATTTCAGACAAGCTTTCAACTTATTCACTGTCGGGCTTCCTGGGTCAAACCCTCCGGGGGCTTTAAGAGCTGTAAAACATTATTTATGATTTAAATGACCTTGTTTTACCATTCCTAAAACCTTTAAAAAAACAGGTCCTGAGTTGAGACGGTATGACTGAAGACATTTTGTTTTTAAGGGCTGAAGGTCTGCTGGTCTGTTCATCTTGATTGATAAACAAAATTGAAAGTTAGATTTCATCTACCAGGTCCTAAAGTTGCACCTGCTCTGTTAATGTATGCGTCTCTCTCACCTGCGTATTCTGGGTAACAGATTGTGAGAGGGCTCTTTTTGATCTTTTCCTCAAACAGGTCCTTCTTGTTGAGGAAGAGGATGATGGAGGTGTCTGTGAACCACTTGTTGTTGCAGATGGAGTCGAACAGCTTCATGCTCTCGTGCATTCGATTCTGAATGAGAGGAGAGACGTGAAATGGTAACCAACCAGAGAAGCTGCATGAACTGATCAGGGTATTGAAAGGTCTGAAAGGTCTTACCATCTCCTCATCCTCAGCCAGAACCAGATCATAGTCACTCAGGGCCACACAGAAGATGATGGCAGTGACTCCCTCAAAACAATGGATCCACTTCTTCCTCTCTGATCTCTGTCCGCCTACATCAAACATCCTGCAGAAAAGATCACAGATAAACATTAAATACCACACAAACTAAATATTCACTAATTAAGATGAATCATTCAGTCACTGATTATAACTCCATATTTATCTGTAGCTATGGTATATTATGATTTTCTTCAATATTTTTGGGGGATTTTCATTGTCTTTAATCCATGGTGACAGCTGAGGAGTAACAGAAAAGCGGAGAGAGAGTGAGAGGAGAACATGCAGCACAGGGCCACAGGCCGGCGTCGAACCCATGGTCGCAGCCCCGGCACATGGGGCGCCAGCTCCACCAGGCGAGCCATCTGGGTGCCCGTAGCCATAGTATATTATGAGGAGGATCCTTGGACATAGGACTCAAAGCCTTTCCACCTCTACTGTCACTTTACTGAAGTGTAGATTATTTCATAACAATTTTCTAACTCCATTATCTACATTTGATTCAAGACCTGGGAATGTTTGGTCTGTCAGTAAGCGATTTGTTTTCAGTAAAGTAAAATCAATCACAAGGATAAAGAGGAAATAAATGTAAATTGACATAAAAGCCTTATTATTAACATGTTTTTTTTAGAAGGGATTAAAAAGATGAAAGAGATTTAGCAAGCCTAGTTTCCTCAGGTAGGGCATGTACAAGCTCCCTAGTAGAGAAAGCGCAGTCTCATTTAGTCTTGAGGCTGAACTGTGGAAATAAGCCTGGGGACATGTAGGAAAATGATGTCCCCATTCTTAATCCTGCCTACTAAACTCTGACTGTTCAATTTAGATGTGGGTGGTGATTCCGAGCAAGGCCCAGACTAGAAGAGAAAACCACCAGTCATCATGTATATACAGCTAAATGACCTGGACTAACTGTTACTCACTTGAAGTGGAGGTCCTTGAAAGTGAAGTGTGTTTCCACAATACCAGTAGTTTTGACTCTGGTCCTCAGCACATCCTGCTGGGTGGGCACATAAGCACCGTGGGATATCCTGTCCAAGTCATTCAGGTAGCTTTAGCAAGAGGAAAGTCAAAAAGAGAGATAGATTGACACCAGGTTAAAAAAACAGTACAGTCCCACAGTAGTTTCCTCCAACATGTCAGTACAACCAACTCACTATGCTGCAGAGTCATTGAGCTGGTACTCCCGGGAGCGGCTGAAGCAGGCCTGAACTCCTCCATCTTTCCACAGCCGCTGAATGACCCCAGCTAGTTCGCCTGTCATGAAGCCCTCTTCTGCTGATCCAGCCAGGACGAACAGCTGCCGTGCATCATCCTAAAGAGACAAAGACCAATTGAAGTTATAATCCACAAGTTTTTTTCCATATAACTTAGTCAGTTTTGCTTTGAATGTGTGTATTTTACATTTCCTCCTCCCTGATACTTGAACTTCACACACTGACTGATACTGAATAACAATACAATACACGTGCATTAAAACAGAGACAAACATATATATTATTATTTTGGTAACAAATGTATACTACTATGTCTGTATAATTGCTATTGTTGTATGACCTGGGTCAGGTTAAACTTTCTCAGGGTCAGACTAGGGCAGGGTCATGACTTTGCTATCTTGGGAAAAAAATGGTTAACGGGACATTGTTGGGAAGCAGCAGGATTCTGTTTCGGGACAAATTAATTACATGGTATCGGATCATGCCCGACATGCGTACTTGCCGATACCTGATACCACATTTTAGTCAGTATCAGCAGAATTTCCAATACTGGTGTCGGAGCTAATGTTTACAGTGCATTTAATGACAAAACAAAGCAAAATTTAGGAGTATTGTCCCTGTACTTTTGGTCCAAAAGGTCCAATAAATAAATGAATATTAATTGACAGAATTTAGATTTGCAGTCATGTTTCTTTTGGAGGGGGTGATTTTGCTTTATTGAGAAGACAGCAGCGAGAGCCAAGAAAGGCAGTACTCGAATCCGGACCGCTGCGGTGAAGCCTCGGCCTTGTACACGCTCTACGCGGTGAGCTACCCAGGCGCCCCAGATTTGCAGTCCCTTTTTATACAATTACAGCATGAGCCCTCTGCCACTGACAAACACGCCTGTTTGGAGACAATGCCAGCGATGAATTAAAAATGACAAATTAGTTCAGTCCTTTTAGCCATGACACTTGCATTAAATTAGATTTCCAAAGCTACACAGTGTCTTAAGCAGGTCCTTGGCCAAAAATTGATAAGAGCATAAAATCTAGAAAGAAAAGCTTTGGGTCTAAAATTGGTCACGATGACAGAGCCAGGCCAGTCACGCTGAGGCAATGACTAAGCCTCTTGTTATGCCAGGGAAAAAAAGGCTTCACAAAAAGGAAAAGGTCTGTTTAGAAAAAAGAAGAAATAAAATACTTGGCAGTCTGCGCTGTATTTATTTGCGTCATGTGGTAATAACATACTATACTTAAACAAAAAAAACACCAAACCAATGAACACAAAGTCTCCAAAAATCAAGGAAAACATGTTGCTGATTAATACTGTAAAGCTCGTATTCGTATTGACAGGCAGCTCTTCTGTCCATGGACAAGCACTTTAAAAATGTCCCGATCAGCAGCACAGCTCTTGCCAACTGAAGGACCCACGGACAGTTCTCATGTCAGTAAGCAGCTGCTCTAATGAAGTGTTATGAATGTGATACTAAACCCCTACCAGCTCTTTCTGACCTGCTGCAGAGGAGGGAGTGAGAGGAAAATTGCCCAGCAGGGAAGGGTGACATATGACTAAGTAGTCGTTGCCCTTATACCACTGGGCTATATATTTGCACCGAAAGAAACAACTTTGTAATATCCCGAGAAACAGTGGAAATGCCAGCTTTGTCTCCCATCACTCACTGCTCTAGCTGCATCGGCAAAGTCAATCTTGAGGCGTCCCATCGCTCTGATGATGGCAATAATGGACTGGATGGTGTTGCTGTAGACCACGGCCTTGTACTGCTTACACTCCTCCTCTGAGTAGCCCGCTTCATGGATGATCCTGGCACACAGAGAAAGAGGACATTAGCACTTGTTCTTTACATTGTTTATTATGCTTGACTGACTTATTGGTTGTTGCACAAGCCCCGTCTTAAAAAAAAGGGGAACTGAAAGATATTTTGCAACCACAGCTTGAATTCAATGAAACCATACAATACAAATGTGTGTGATTATTTTAAACGGCTTTTAAATAGTTAAAGAGACAGTTAAAGTTACGTAAATGTATAAATCATAATTAAACAATGTGTCTCTAATTGTAATACTAAAACACTGAACTTTTATTGATCTAATATGGAAGGAATTGTAGCAGTGTTAATAAAAAAAACTCCCTATTCTTAATTGCTGGCATTTTTATTGTAAAAGTATTGACAAATGCCTGTATAGAGAGCAAATATTATGATATCTAATGCAAAAATGCTGTTTTCAGCCTTTCAAATATGGAGATTTTCTGTTTTTCTCTGTTTTATATGATATTAACCTGAATGTCCATTACCATTTACATGTTTCTTTATAGACCAAACAATTAATCTAGAAAATAACCATTAGTTGCAGTCTTATCGTGCTACCCACATTGGAAATCTAGTGTATAACAAGTAAACTACTTCCTGCTAGAAATCCAACTCAATGCTTCACCTTCAAAAGATTACAGAAAATTACAGTTATTTAATATAAAACTTGCCTGTGACAATGCAAGATGATGATGATGATGATGATGGTGTCTGATGTATCAATTTCCTGCTCACTACGGAGTAAAATACTGAGCCTCCATTATGTAGGGAACAGTGAGTGAGTGAACAAATGACTGATATCACACACACAGTGGAAGTGTTGGGTGATGAGGTGCATATAAGTGTGTAATTTGTTCTGTACGCAGTCTGACGTCAGCTGTGTGCCGTGGTCGGTGCGTCGTTAAATGTGATGTTGACCATCAAAACTTACTTCATCTGTTTAACGATCGTACTTTTTCCAGACTCTCCAGCACCTGAAACAGAGAAAGATTACATTACAGTCACCTGATGTTAATTATTTTAAGCATAAATCACAGACAAGTAGGTTCAGTATTCACTATAACACCCAAAGTTAAAGGCTGCTGATTAGTGTGATATAAAACACACCACAAGCAAATTTTTGTTAACTGTTTTCATATTTTCTGTTGAATAAAACGGGTTTGCTCTCTGACACCAAGCTTCTTTTATCTGTGTGAGAATACTTGAAGGGGTCATTCTAGTTTCAATGTGTTTCAGTTGTCAATAGAAAAAAACAAATCACAGTAAAATGATGTTTTCATTTTGTCAACGGTTTGTTTTTGCTCTGCTTCACATTCACTGACCGGCGACATGTCTGATAAGGGAATAAACCCCTCAGAAAGGGTCACTTTACCACACATTCATGTCTTTATTACAACAATCTTTGTAGTTTTTACTACAGTTACTTCAAGCTACATTGCCTGCATTTTTTACAGAGGTTACAATGATTTATTTTTTAAAGATATTATTTTGGGGCTTTTTATGCCTTTATTGTGACAGGACAGGTGAAGATAGACAGGAAGGTTGGTGTTGGTATTGAACCTGGGCCACTGCAATAAGGACTCAGCCTACATGGGGTGCACGCTCTACCAGGCGAGCTACCGTTTGGCCCAAATTTCTTTCACTTTTAACCCAAAACTAGATAGATATAGAATTCAAAACTACAGCAATTACTATTCACTGTGCCGCCAAAACACAACAATCATGCATAAACTGGTTAATTAATGGGCTGTGATGGCAGCTTAAATCCCCCCACCTATTTAGACCAATCTCTGCCAAACACACACAAGAAAGTGTTAACTTTAACCTGCAGCTTATCAGAAGCTACACTGTCACCGAATGCGGCGAAGAAGTGCCTAAGGCCCGGTTTAGCCAGGTCACAGTGCAATTGGATTAATCAACTGGATCCTCTTGGCAATGAGATTATTAACAGCTTAAACATCCCTGGGTTAGACACTCATGCTGCATCAGACTGGCTGGTTGGAGAGCTGCATCTCATATGGACCATTTGATTTGTGTGAGACCGATGCTATGTGAGGCAGTATGATGCCATCACAGCCTTAAAAAAATAAAAGGTAAAAGTTAATAAATATAATAAGAAATGTATAAATAATAAAAGGTATAAAACTGTGATTTTAATTATCCAAAGAAGTGTTTGGTACTTAGTCTCTCATACAGTTCCCCAGCTCCCTCTGAGATACAGGCATGTTTTCAGCTGAGCACACAACATTTTAATTACCTTTCCTCTGCAGGGACGCTCAGCTCCCCAGTGAAGAGAACTGTTCACCAATTCATTGTCCCATATGATAAACAGCCACACACCACAGACACAGAGCTAATATTACTGCAAACATCATAACACAAATTTAATTTCCAAAACACACACTCACACCTCACTGAGCTGCTGAAATTAAAGGGCTTAATGGATGCCAATTATGGCAAAAAAAAAAGGGGAAGAAGTGTCTAAAATGTGTCATAGAGGAAGTGTGTTTAATAGGGCTACACTGGCTGGACCAGGGAACACGCATTCCCCTCAGGCCATATGAGACGCAGATATCTCCCCAGTGAACAATAGACACCGTGCCTGCATCTCTCCTGTGCCGCCTTTTCTCTGCTACTGTACATGAAAATGCCGCTACACATAAACAAAGATCAATCTTTAGTATATCGCATTTGTTGAGAGCACAAACAGTCTACATCTGAGGCAGTACTCCTACTCAAAACACTCGTCTCAAGAGCATGTCATTTGCAGATTACTGCATTAATGCAAACATCCCCAGTGGGATGCCTGACAGAGCGGCAAACTGCAATAAGCACGTACGGTAAAGCTCTATTATCTCCGTCTTGAGCGCAGTATAAAAAAAAAAAGAAAGGCATCCAGCATTACAAACGTGAAAATTAAATACACCCATGTGTTGAAAGACATATGGTAATTTACCCACCATTAAACAACAAATCCATAAACCAATCCCGGACATCTCATGCAGGTGCTTGTGGGAATCGTGACACAAAAGGAACCACAACCATGAAAATTCAAATCAGGTCCATCTCAAATGACGCACAAACATACAAGAAATGACTGCTGGAGCAGAGCAATGTACAGCGTCTGTGACTCTGGTGAAGTCACATGTCTGAAAACAGAACTGTGATACCTGCGATGACACACACACACGCACACACGCACGCACACACGCACGCACACACACACCCCCACACCCTTTCCTGAGCAGAAATTAACTATAAAGACGCCGAATACTGTTGCATTTTCATAACAGCTTGTAGACTGCATTGTCCAGGCAGAAATCCAGTTAGCAGGCACTAGCTGTCTCTGTTGTGTGTGTGTGTGTGTGTGTGTGTGTGTGTGTGTGTGTGTGTACAGTGGGCCACAGATGCTTATTGCTGCGTAAGTTGCTATGCAACCTCTGGCCCGTCTTTTCTTGACTGAGACCGAGCAGCAGTGGCCATTAGCTGCCAGTAATATCAAGAATGGAGAGGTGTGGCAGTCTTGAAATAATGAAACAATCCCAGATAAAGCTGTGAGATTTAATCCTGATATAAAAGGGATGTGAATATGGATAATAGATAATAAAATTAGGGGAGTTTATATATCATCATGTGACTTTAATGTTGTGTTAACCATCTGCATTACAGTTGTGTGACAGGAGTTTTTGGACGTATTTGCCTGTTCTAGCTGACTGAAATGGGAGTGAAAGCTTCTGCCTGCTCGGACACCACATTCAAATGACCATATCAATGTGTTCCCCCTCAGGCACCCTCTCAGATAACCTCGTTTTGAATAAAATAATTGGATTACCATAAGCAGTACACAAAATAATCATTACATTGCTAATGTGGGTAATTCCTCTTTTTTGTTTTCTCCCCCTCCCTCAAGCCTTCCTCTTCATTCGCGTTTCCTCTAAACCAAAAACCACTTAACGTTAATAAAATAAAAACCCCCCGCACACACACACAAACTTTTAAATCAAATGGACGAACATTTGTTGAAAATCTGTTTAAAAATGTGAGCTAACTTCTTCCACATTGGCAGACTCGAGCCATCCGGCCTAAAAGTGCGTTAGTATTTATTTCATGAAACAGGAAGACAGCTTGCGACTGAACTTAAAACTGGAATAATGAAGACAATGTGAACCAACACCTACAACACTGTGTACATTTCACACACACACAAAAAAAACCACCTATTAAACGCGAACATCCACGCTTTATTGATTGATTGATTGATTGATTGAGCTTCTCGTCTGTGAGCTAACTAATCCGAGCTAGCGTCGGGTGTGCTAACGTAAGCTAAGCAGCTAATCGCTTAGCTAAATTAGCTCAGATAGAGGTTTGGAAAAACTAAAACCCTCCATTTAATCACTCAGCTGGGTGTTAATTAGCAATCTCAGGAGGAAAAGAAGCAAAAAAAGCACCACAAGAAGCGCCAACTTGTCCTTTATTTCCCATTTTTTAAAGTGTTTTAGCCACTTGCTAACCACCAAAGTTAAAACAACTTCTTCAACCGCAGCTCGCGTAAAACTTCAAACCTCAAAATCCAATTTAACATCTTTTAAAAACACGCTGGGTCGAGTTTTTACACACAAGGAAAGACCCTCTCCAGTAAATACACACCCCCACCCTCCCTCTCTCTCACCGAGCAGCAGCAGCTTCACCTCCCGGGCAGCCTTTTCTCCGTCGTCCCGCAGATTCCTGTCGATCATCTTGCTCCGCTCCTGCGCCGCCTTGTCGTCCGTGCTCAGAGTGCATCCCATCTTCTCCTCCTCACCTCAACTCTCCCGATTAATTAATCAATAAATACAAAATTAAAATAAAAAAAAACCCAGCTCTGCAAAAAAACACAACTTCCAAGCTAGGGCATGCAAAGGCTACCGAGCTTTAGCATCCAGCGAGTGAGTGAGGAGGAGGAGGAGGAGGAGGAGGAGGTCTTGTTTCTCCAACACGCCCTTGCTCCCCTCTTTTACACGTCTCTAATATTGTAGTTAGTTGACCACAAAGCGCGGATTTCGCTTTAGCTGGCTCTCCTGTTTGCGTTTCAGCGACTCAGAGGAGCCGAGCGGAGCCGGTATCAGTGCCAGAGGAGGACGGGAGGAGGACGGGAGGAGGACGGGAGTGGACCGCAGCGGAGGGGCTCTGAAACGGTTCGCTTCCTGTTCTTCCTTCGCACGTACCTGTGAACTGCGCATGCGTACAAGTCTAGCTTCTTTCAAAATGTTTAAGCTTCTTTTTTTTTTTTTTTTTTTTTTCTCGCGGAGCCGACTGCCGAGGTTTACTCACTGGTCCAAGAAAACAGAGGAATGTATATGTGGAAACCCGTTACCGCCAATGTGAGGAGAGAATTACATTCTGGAAATCATTATAATGAGAAATATTGACTTAGTATCTCAAAATAATGAGAAACTTTCTCAAAATATTGACTTAATATCTCAAAATAATGACTTAGTATCTCAAAATAATGACTTAATATCTCAAAATAAAACAATGACTTAATATCTCAAAATAATGACTTAGTATCTCAAAATAATGACTTAATATCTCAAAATAATGACCAACTCTCAATATTTTGACTTAGTATCTTAAAATAATGAGAAACTTTCTCAAAATAATGACTTAATATCTCAAAACAATGACCAACTCTCAATATTTTGACTTAGTATCTCAAAATAATGAGAAACTTTCAATATTTTGACTTAATATCTCAAAATCATGAGAAACTTTCAATATTTTGACTTAGTATCTCAAAATAATGAGAAACTTTCTCAAAATATTGACTTAATATCTCAAAATAATGACTTAGTATCTCAAAATAATGACTTAATATCTCAAAATAATGAGAAACTTTCTCAAAATTTTGACTTAGTATCTCAAAATAATGAGAAACTTTCTCAAAATATTGACTTAATATCTCAAAATAATGACTTAATATCTCAAAATAATGACCAACTCTCAAAATATTGACTTAGTATCTCAAAATAATGAGAAACTTTCTCAAAATATTGACTTAATATCTCAAAATAATGAGAAACTTTCACAAAATATTGACTTAGTATCTCAAAATAATGAGAAACTCTCAATATTTTGACTTAGTATCTCAAAATAATGAGAAACTTTCTCAAAATATTGACTTAATATCTCAAAATAATGAGCAACTCTCAATATTTTGACTTAGTATCTCAAAATAATGAGAAACTCTCAATATTTTGACTTAGTATCTCAAAATATTGACTTAATTTCTCAAAATATTGACTTAATTTCTCAAAATATTGACTTAATATCTCAAAATAATGACCAACTCTCAATATTTTGACTTAGCATCTCAAAATAATGACTTAGTATCTCAAAATATTGACTTAATATCTCAAAATAATGTCCAACTCTCAATATTTTGACTTAGTATCTCAAAATAATGAGAAACTTTCTCAAAATATTGACTTAATATCTCAAAATAATGACTTAGTATCTCAAAATATTGACTTAATATCTCAAAATAATGACCAACTCTCAATATCTTGACTTAGTATCTCAAAATAATGAGAAACCTTCTCAAAATATTGACTTAATATCTCAAAATAATGAGAAACTTTCTCAAAATAATGACTTAGTGTCTCAAAATATTGACTTAATATCTCAAAATAATGATCAACTCTCAATATTTTGACTTGGTGTCTCAAAATATTGATATAGCATCTCAAAAATGTGACTTTGAATGTCAAAATAATCAGAATCAGAATCCCAATTAGAATTGGCCAAGTATGTGCGCACATACAAGGAATTTGACTCCGGTTTTATGTTGCTCTCAATGGACAAACAAGTTCAACAATAAAATATATAGAGTTATATGTATAGGTATACATATCTATAAACAAATATTGTAGGCAGTAGACAATGAGAAACTTTCTCAATATTTTGTCTTTTATCTCAAAATAATGAGATGATGAACTGAGAACTGTTCTCTTTATTTTGAGAAACTAAGTCAATATTTATACATAATATTCTCATTATAATGACTTCCACAATCTTTTTTCTCATCACACTGGTGGAAATGGGCCTCCGTAGGGAAATACATGCAAAGTTTGGCCGCGTGAGGATGAAAATACAAAGATGAAATGAGATAGTTTGTTGTGAAATTATTAAATCAAATTGATTTAGTATGTCAACATTACCACTATTTGACTTAGTAGTTCACCATTTTGCTTTAATGTGTATTGATTTACTGTAGAAGGCCTAGCTCATATTTTTTACTTAAATAAATACAAAATTGGAATTAATAAGTCAAAATATTAATTATAATAACATTTAATATCCAAATTTTATTTATTTTTTGATTAAATAAGTGAAAAATTTGACTTGATATCTCGTTATTTTGATTTTGTGAGACAATATTTTGACTTACTATGAGTCTTTTTACCCTGCCTCACTTTTTGTCTTCCATTTTCTGGTTGAGCAGGCTTCCATAGTTTCCATTACACCAGCTTTTAATATCATATGGTAAAACATTTCTGGAGTGCAGACTATCAGGCGACAAGTCAGGCAAATCGACTGCAATAAGATTGTGGCATATGTTTGTTTTGTATGAGTGTGCTACACATGAGTGGGCGTGGGAGAGATCAGTATAATGTATACTTCATCCGTGCTGTCAATGCTGATTTGCATTTGAGGCCTCTGTCATGAGCTGCCAAAGCTCAGTAACATGTTTGCATGAGAAGCTCATACAGACACTCAAACATAAACACTCTCTGTATTGAAAGATTCAACTGTTTGAGGATCTGATGTCTTCAAACAGAAAATTAATTATATGTTTGGATACAGGAGAAATATAACTGACTTTGATTTACCTTTACCTCTTTGCACAAGTTTTTACTGAAAGATTTCTTGATTTGCTTAAATCAACAGGTTAATATTTGTTATTCCAACTATGAAAATATACAGTTGAAATGAGATATCACACTTTCAGGACTGGAGGATAAACAGACAGAAACATAACATTTATAAAGTGCATCAACATATAACTTAAAAGAGCCAAAACAAACAGCAATACAACAGAAACATCGCCGAATTAAGGCGTACAAGGCGTCAGAATGAGCTCCCCAGAAGAGGTTTAAACTACACTGCTTCTAAAGAGTAGCTGTATTGTAGTGTTAAACATCCCTGTCAGGTACTGAAAAGACACAGAGGACACACAGGAAGGTTACACCCTGTGGTTAAACTTTCTCCATGACCACATCCAGGAATTCAAATGATCGGCGGATGATTCAGCCTGAAGAGCTCTGTGGCCAAACCATGTGAGAGAAATGAATAGCACATTAAATTTACAAATGATGTGATTGTGGGCTTCATGAAAAGTTTATATTAATAAAAAAAATGTATATATGCGTTATGCTTCTTACACAGTCCACAGAATAATCCTAACCGACTGTGTGTGACCCACATATGTAGAGATATTGAATCAAGATCAATGTCTTTTCATGTTGTTATAATCAGTATTTGTTCGCCCTCAAGTGAACCATCATGTTGTGAATGGTTTTATGTATAAACGGCATGGGAAAGGGTTGAGATGTGGTCAGAATTCATCTCCTCACTTTACATAGGATTTCCATTGCAGGTGGCCACTGCATCATGCAAACTAGCACCATATTTTTTTTCCCAATCCGCTCTAAGTGAGCATGGAAAGATTTTCCACACATGAGCAGGAGAGGCCATCAGGTCAACAGTTTAAAACCCTTTTTTCTAAATGTAATAATAATCAGCTTATCTAATAATAATCAGCTGATTTAATAATAATAATCAGCATAATAAAAAATATGACAGATCAGACCAAGAGGGGGGATGTGTTGGGTTTTCTGAATGGAGAAGGATGTGTATTGTTGTTGCCTTGACACCACCCTGCGCCCCCCTAAGCAACAGGAAATGTTTTGACTCCTTCAGGTGAGGCTTGTCAGCACTCTGATGCTCATTATGTTCCACAGAGATCACGGCCTCCAAGTGGGACCTATTAGTGTGTGTGTGTGTGTGTGTGTGTGTGTGTGTGTGTGTGTGTGTGTGTGTGTGTGTGTGTGTGTGTGTGTGTGTGTGTTATACAGGTCTTTATACCGTTGCACAGATGGCTGGAAAACATTTATTTCCTATTGCTGAAAGCGTAGCCAGCTCATTCTGTGAAACATTCAAACATCACATCAAACTCTAAAAGATCAATAGTCAAATACTCCCTCTAGAGTTATTCAAGGCTATAACAACAGTTTATTAGCTGATATGATTCTGGTAACAACACACACAAAATAGATCATCGACTGGGAAGAGAGTCAGCTGCAAAGGAGGATGTTTAAGAACAATTCATGACTTCATGGACCTGCAGTACCCAACCTGAGGGGGTCACAAGGCCTTCTTCATTTTAAGGGGTGTTAAATAGACAAAGTAGGCCTGTATCTTAGCATTTCATTAATATCTGTGACAAAAACTGAATGTTATTATTAAAGTTAAGATATATTTAAAAAGTCTTAATCTTCTTAATCTTTAAAATTTGAAGAGCTGAACACAAGCTGTATTCGCAGAGCTTTCACTCTCTGCATTAGAAAAGTACGCAGTAAAAACAACCACATAGTTAATAGAACAATGAGAAGAAAACACTGAATTTATCAAAAAGAAACCTATTAAGTATGTATGATTGTTAACAATAAAAAAATAAAATACATAACACCGACAGAGGAGACTTCCTGCAGTTATTGTGTTCACTATTAGTGTTATCAGATGTTCTCTACTCTTATTGTTGTGCACTGAATATAATATGTCACTAAACTGTCACAGTCTGTGTCTACTTATTTCTGATTTTGACATGTTTTATGGCACTGGAGCTGCCGTCACTTAATCAGTGAGAGACTTTGGTTTAAGGATGCAGGCTGCTGAGATCACTTCCACTCTCAAGTTTCAGTTTTCAGATTAGTTATTAGTTGTAACATCCTGTCAAGTGTTTGTCTCTACTTTACCACATAAACTAAACTAAATAAAGATCTTTTCTCTTTCTTTATACTAACACAGTGGAAGAGAAGCGCTCTACATGACAGTCAGGTCTGTAAGGCAGAAGAGACTGCATGAGGAGTTGTTGGAGAGAGAGAGAAAGCAGACATCAGTCCTCCAGATGGCAGCAGAGACATGAAACAACCAACCAGTAAGAGACAGAAAAATGGGACCAGTGGAGGAAGAAGGGACCTACCTCTAGGTAAAAGACAACAGATTTCGTGTGTGAGATGGTTCTAACTCTCTAAAGTGATTTGTCCTTGAGTTGAGATCCTCAAAAAGATAAAAGTCGTCACTGTTATTCAGTTAATAAAAACTTTAAGGGAGCACTCCACCAATTCTACACGCAAAGCTCAGTTTATTCTTCACTGCTCTAACTAAAAGAAGTGGCCATTTAGGACTCATGGAGAATCTAATGAAATATGCTATCGCATTGCATTATGGGAAATGTGGTTTTTGTAGCTTGACCTCAGTCAGAATATCTCGGCCTTGATCATTATCTCTTTAATCTCTCTCTTGCATGAAAGGGCAATACTAAAAACCTGGAGCAGCCCTTTAGTTTAGGTGTTGTGCACAGACATAAGAATAACATTTGTTAAATAAAATACTTACTTGAAGCTACATCATAGGGTCCTTTCACCATGATTACCAAAAACTTCAGTTAAAAGCAGGGTCCCAACAGGTTTCCTTGACCAGCCTGGTGTGGCTACATGTTTTGAGAAATAAATGTAGGTCTCAATAAGACGCCTGGTCTGGATTTTATAGAAATTCTTTGGATGTATAAAACCTTTTTAAACCCACTTGAGCGAGTATACACTACACAAAAATAAACATTTAAACTTTTGTCAGTATGGACACATTGTTAGATCAGAAATAACAAGAATTAAATTAATTAATTAATTGATCAAATTAATGATTCGTAACTGATATGTTTTATACAAGTAATATTCATGCTGGTTCAAATAAACAGTTATATAGAGGCCTCTTCCACGTAGGTTGAGTTCAGTGATTGAAGCAAATAATGAAGAATGATTAAGTTTTATGGTAGTTATGGAACACGTCTAAGTGCTGCCTGGTAAAGTTTAATTATCTTTAATTAATGTTTAGTGTTTTGTCTGTCAGTTGGAAACAGTCGAGCTGTGGAGAGGAGAGTAGCTGCGTGTAGTGTTGCTGAACATTATCAACGTTCATTTGATGATTGATGATTCGATGATATTATAACATTATAAAAGAATCTCTGTTAAATTTGCAAAGAAAAAATCATGGAGATGCTGTAGTTATATTATATATCAGTAGCCTCAGTTTGTACCTCTTTTACTTTTAGTAAACACTCTGAGTCACAGAGCTAGGCATCTGTTTTAAAAAACCCATATGTTCATTTGATAACGCTATTTCCAGAATCATCAAAGACTCGCTAACAATCTGAATGAAAAAATATTTTGATCACTGTACAATAAAACATTTTAAAATCTGTTTCCATCCAACTTCCACCAACATTACATCACTGAAACAACATATGTTTGTGTTCAACTTGTGCAACGAAATTTACAAGTTATATATTTTATTATTTTGCATTTGTTACATTTGTTTGTATTTCCATACGAAACCCTTTTTTATCTTCTTGCGTCATTCAAAAGGAGCAAGGATGTGTGTGGGAGTGGAGACCTTTTTTCAATGTGCAGCGGAGGGAATATTTTTTCATCCAGATGGTTATAAAAGCATTTGAAGATCCTGGAAACAGCAATAAAAACAGCAGTAAGACTCGTCAAACATCATTTGAAAACCGGATGTGTCGCTCTGTGACTTGAATCTAAAGATAATGTATGTCACACAAACTGGGGCTAATTTATCTTCAGGTATTATCAGTGTCAGTAGATGACCAGAGTCCAGGTGGCCCAAATCCCAACTGAGCCTGAACACAATGACAATGATGAATTACAGCCAGTCGTTGATGAATGATCAGAAGAGATTAAAATGTCACGACTTGCTCCAGGCCCTCAGAAGAGTTACAGTAAATGTCTGTGTGTCATCAACATTCAATCATTAGCGCATGATGAAGTATATAATTAGGGTATGTGAACAAAACAAAACTTGCAGTGTGTCTTACAGAAGTTTTCTCTCTTTCTCTCAGTGTTACATATGTGCTGAATTTCTGCAGCTTTGTTGACGACTGAATGCACCAGTGAATTTCAGAAAATATGAGGCAGTCTTATCAGAAGTGTTAGATAGAGGGCTGTTATTGTGTGCGGCCCCCTTTCCATTCAATAGCAGCTCGGGCTCCAACTTGATGACCTCATTTCTCTGCAGCCTTGGGGGCTTTTCTTCACATACTGAAGAGGAGAGAGCTTCATTGTTGGCTGTTTTTTTTCTTTCCCTGTGCACATTAAGAGTGGTGGATGCCAACTTTTAAATGGGGATGTTCATCTTCCTGTGAGGACACTAAGATATTTTATTTAATGACAGACAGTTTGATACTGATGTGCTTACATGGGCCAGAAACAGGGCATTAGCAAATGTGTGTAAATAAGAAGAAAATGAACGATGAGAGAAGTTATTTTGCGTGAAAGGGAAAAGCATGCATGTGCATTGGGTGATGGCTTTTATCACCCACAGTGCTGTGCGATATTATACATCATATGCCCTGCAGCAGTGCATCTTTTAATGCTTCTGTCTGTCCTCATTTCAACTCTGAACACTTTCATTTCAGCCCATGAATGGATACTGAACGTAGATCAGCCTGCGTCCACAGGAAAAACATATTCCAACTGGCACAATAAAGCAAAGCATGAAGCCTTTGATGAAACTAAGACCTTTAACCAGCCCATTCACACACGCAGACACTAATTCAGCGCCTGTGCGAGGAAGCCTTCATATGACGTTACTATGCAAAGCCATCGGCGATAGCCAGCGAGAACTAGACGCAACTGTATAACCCTTATAAATAATACATTCAGTATCGAGCTTTAAAACCACACAAGCCATTGCCCCGGGGGGATCTTGAAAACAGCTCATGTTTTGACATTTCACTTGGAACCACAAGAACCATATGCAACCATACAACACACATATGGTCTTATTATTTCTTAAAAGTACAAATTTATAAGAGTATGTGGTCTCTTTCTGCTGTCTCATGTGGTTGTTTATAATACCGATGAGTGGGGCTGCGCTACATTTAACTCAAAGGAATATTTTAGGAAATACAGTATGCTATGTAGCTTAGCTTAGCACAAAGACTGGAAATGGAGGGAAAACCTAGCCTAGCTTTGTCCAAAGATAATAAAATCCACGTACCAGAACATCTAAAGCTCACCAATTAACATTTTATAGTTAATAAGTTGTTGTTTTGCAGGAGGCTATGTGCCTGTGTCTGCAATCACTCCCTCAATATATATTAGCCTACTGTCCAAATTCTGAGTGTGTACATTTCTCCAATTTATAGAGCCCTCAGAAATTACACTAATTAATGAAAAAGTAAATTAATGAGTGAACAAGAGAGTGATTTTGGACACAGCCTATCCCTTGGCTCCCCATCTTTGTGCCAAGCTAGGCTAACCATACAGACATGAGAGTTTTGTTAATCATTTTATCTCGGCAAGAAAAGCAAATAAGTATTTTTAATATATATTATTATTATTATTATTATTAATATAACTATTACTTGAACTAGTTTATGTTACCTATCCTTGATACTAGATACTATTATATATAATTATATATATGTTTAGGTCTGTCATACATCATCAGGTAAGTAGCACTAATACTTCTAATAATCATTTGTTTTCTAAATATTTAGAGTGACTACAAATTATAAGACATGCCATCGGAAATTGGAAAAAGGAGCTTCAAGGAGACAGGAAACCAAAGACACACAGAACCAAACACACACATGTAGTGGAGACCCAGAGTCTTATTGATCTGTGTTCATGACAAATGGTGAAACAGCTGAAGTGAAGCTCACAGCCACGGACACACCAATACAGTCTTCTATGATTTAACTGCCTCCACATCAAGTTAATGAAATAATAATTAAACATTTATGTGATATTAAATCACAGTCATCACACAACATATCAAATGGGCAGAAGCTTTACACAGTTTACATTATACCAAAGCACATCAACCAACAGACCAATGTTGATGTGATCAGCGTGCCGAGTACAATAAATCATGTCATATTTTCTTGTATCAAATCATGTTTACGTGCCTGACTCGTGCCTGTTTGATGGCACACTCCTTGTTTCATTTGCAATATTGTTTATGGGAGAGAGACCATTATTCTTTGTGGTAATTCCATCAAAGTAAGGTCATCCACCAACTGGGGCACACTGCGTCACTGGTTTGGTTAAAAGGTCAAAACAACAGAGTCTTAAAGGTTAACGTCCTGCAGCAACAGAATAACAGTGCGACCCTCTTTTTTTGTCCTCTTTTTTAATTGTGCTTTACCATTTTATTTCATGCCACAGCCACTCAAACTTCCCTCCACGTAATCGCCTACAGCTTTGTAACGCAGGAGAATGTGATGCGTTTGCACTGGAGAGGCCAAAGCTTTCCATGGTCCTGAAACAAACATCTCTCTCTGTCTATGTCTGTCTCTTCTTTATTCAAATTTGTGACCCTAGCTTAAGGGATACAACACAACAGGCACTAATAGCCCCCATAACCCCTCCCTGCTCTGTCTGTCAGTCTCTCTTTCTGTCTCTCTAACACACACACACACACACACACACACACACACACACACACACTGGTTCTTGTCAGAGGAGGAGCAACATCAACATAGGGTTACTTTCTGCCTCAGTCTCTGCTCCAGTGTGTCTACAGAGGTGAGAGTAATATGGACCAAACTAAAACAGCTCATCCATGTCACTCCAAGCAGACAAGGTAAGATAACATTTCTCTGGATTTCTACCAAACTGCAGCAGGTAAGGACACTTTTTCTTTTTGTTTTTAGAAAATTATTACTCTAACTTATGGAACAGCTGCTTGGACCAGATTTCCATATATGTTAGCTGAGGCATTGGTAGAGTCAAGCAAATTGCTGCAAGTCAGCAGCAGCAAAGTCAGTGGATTTTCACACAAATCCTCTTGGGTGTGAATCTTTACAACCATGTGAAGCTCTCTTGTGCTGTGAAGTAGAAAAGCCTGATTTAAACAAGTCAAAAATACAAATATTACATAAATCTACACAATAAAAACATTAGGGGAGCATTACAATTTTGATGAAACTCACAGACACAAGGAAAATTCCAGGAATATAATGTGATACTTTGATTGATTGATTATATATTGATTGAAATTGTACCTTCCACATGCAGTTTCTGTTTCCTGAGGAAGTTTCTATTTATTGTAGAGTATCTGGGTTTTATTGTTCCCCTAAGGCTGTTCTGGAAACGTTTATCTTGATTTCTGCTCTGAGCTGAAAGGTTTCCACCAGCATCAGATCCCGACTCTGGATTCCCCAGTCTCCCTGCTCCCGAGGAATCCCCCTGGTTACTCTATGTTTGTGTTTAATAGGGAAATTAAATTTCAAACAGGCAGCTCCTCCCTGAAAACCGTAGGCCTACAAGATGAAATCAAGTTATGTTTCTTAATCTTTGCTCATTAACCCTCCTACTCCTGGACTCCCTCTGCCTGTGTGGCACTGCAGTCGCCTCTCTTTTTAAAATTAAAAAAGTTTTTCCTTCATCTTTTCCCTCCTCTCCTCTGTACCTTTATTATTTCAGTTTCATTTTTCCGCTTTCTGCCTCTATTGCTGTACTGCATTGCACATCCAGTGGTTTTCTCTTCTCTCCGTTACCCTGCTGCAAGAGGCCAAAGCTCAGCTTGATGTGAAATTTCCCACTCTTCAAATTCAGGACACACTTCTCTGAAATCACAACAAACTTGTGTGGCAAACCTACTTATAGTAACTAGTGCAATAACACCAGGAACCTTTGCTTCAAAAACACTGCCTTGAATCAAATCTGTCAAATATTGGTTTAAAAAAGTAAACAGCCTGTGACCTGAATTAATGCCTGAAACAAAGTTGTGCTTTGTACTGTATGTTTTCTAGGTCACTGTACAAACATCTGATGCAATTCTACAATGAATCATTAAAAGCTACAACACTTTGATCCCTCTAGTCGTTAAATCCTCCTTGAGATGACACTGTGTACTTCTGTGTCTCCACACCTGCTCTTGTCTCTGCAAACAAGACCCTCGTTCCACCATCTCATCTTGGTAGCGACTGACTCTGCAGCTGACGTGTAGTTCATGATATCAAAGACACCACAGACTTTTTAAAGCCAATCTCACCCTACCAGATGAGTATATCCTAGAAGCATATTACCGGCACAGCTGTTGCAGGCAGCATCTGCTGGATCTAATTACTATGTTTCTGTGCCTGTCAAAGAAATACTGTTTGCGTCTGTGACTCTCTCCAGTAGCCCTGAATAACAATTAGGGAGGTCCAGTAATGTAGGTCTTATTAGTGTGAATGAAAGGAAGAAGTGAGGACAGGAGGCAGCAATCTTCTACTTTGTTACCAAACAATTCCACAGCACAAGGAAACATCTTCACACGTGCTTATTAGACAGCTTGTTTAAATGTATATATATATATATAGCACTGAGATCTAATGATACCAAGACTGAAACCTTTCTACTGCCTACATTTAAGTGGATGCCATTCAAGACATTAAACGTCCAGTGTGTAGGATTTAGTGGCATCTAGCGGTTGCAACTCACTCAGTTCACCCTTTGCCCTCCAAGTGAGGGGGGAAATTGCAGTGACGGCAAAACATGAACGGCCATATGTAGAGCCAGTGTTTGGTTTGTCCATTCTGGGTTACTGTATAAACATGGCGGTTCAACATGGTGGCCTCTATGGAAGGTGACCCACCTTAAAACGATAAACAAACGACTCATTGTAAGGTAGCGAAAACACAACGATTCTTATTTTCACGTCATTATACATTAATAAAAACATACATATAAATATTATATTCCATTTCTGCCAATAGATCTTCGTGAATGTTACACACTGGACCTTTAAAAGCAACGTTTTTTTGTGAAGACAGATTAATAATCAGTAATCTGATACATCTGCAGATTTAGTTGAGTATATTTTGTTCTATAAAAACAGGAATAGGAAACATAAAGCCCAGAAGAAGTGCGTTGGTGGGAGTTTTTGTGCAGGTCGGTATGTCCAGTGGGTGAAAAAAGAGGCTTGTTAGTGGAAGTAGAAGTGGGAGCCTGTATGTCCTGGGGCATCTTCTCAGTTTGTTAGACATGTCCCTAATAACAGAGGAGTGGAGAGACTGGTGAGGGAAACTTTTGGTGACCTTACTGGCCTGATCAGTCTCGTCAGCCTGGGCAAGAGAGAGCTGTTGTCTCTTGTTTTCGTCTTCAGAGAGGTTGCGGTGTTACAGTGCCTGTGGTTGAGGTGGAGGCAGACAACATGGCTGAAGTAAAAAATGCCTGCGTCCCCAGAACAGATAGAAATGATCAATACATTTGATCCCTTTCAGACTGCATGTTTTGCTGAGCCATTCATGCAGTGATAAAGATCTGCTGGTGGTTCACTTATAAAAAAAAAAAGGACAGTTAAACAGTTCATTAACTGTGTCTGACAATGATGTAGGGGTACAATGCTACATCGGTTGAGTACTTTTTAGATAAAAAAAACCAATATCAGTAGAAAGAATATAAAATAGAAACTTCACAACTGTATTTGTAGTAAATGTACTTTGACACTTGCTTTTACAGACATATAAACAGGTTAATGAAGCAGTATGTTGTGTGTTTTATTGACTTTATTGGACTTCATGTTCTACTAACATTTCTTTTAGAAGTTAATCTTTCACAGAGGTAAATATTAAACCCCATGGTGTCGACACTTTTTGGCCTCCACAACGTCGCTGGTTTGATTCCAGTTAAACTCCACAAGATTTAAATAGATACAGATGAGACAGAAGAGCATCCAACATCATACAGTCCCTCCAGGATTTTGTGGGCTTTTTTGGGATTGTTGTGGCCTAAAATTACAGATTTCAGAATAGTTTTTCTTAAGTTAGTTAACTAATGAAATTACAGGATAAAGTGAAAAATTGCAAAAATAGTTGCAATTTGTTCTGCAATTGATTAAAAATTAAAGGAAACTTGTTCCAGCAAGAATAAGTTTATATAGCTTGGTAACGTATGGCTCAACGTTTTGTTCAGGGGGCTGCTGTGATTGGTGAAATTTACATTAATTGTTGTGATTGCAGGATCACAACTTCCTGGAGAAATGTATCAGAACCCTCAGTTTACATCAATAACACTGCTTTCTCATGGTTGAGGGACTAAACACAACAATGTTTGTGTTTTATATATATATATATATATATATATATATATATATATATATATATATATATATGTACAATATCCCAAAATATTTTTTTATATTTTCTTACACCTCTTTCCTCAACTGATGAATACACTCCCAAAATGTATCACAATTGTCTACATGTGATATTTGCAGAGAGAAATAAGAAGTGCTGAAGCTGGATTTAAAATATATATATTTAAACTAATGCATCACAACCAGATCATTTTTTTTGTTATTACATGTATTTGGATTAATCATAATCATCAAAAATCCTCTATTATTGCAGGTCTAAGTACATTTTCCTGATAATAATTCTGTACTTTTAAAATGATGAATGTGATATTTTATTTAGATTTTTTACTTGATGATGTTGCTGCTTTTACTTAATAGGACACTTCATCAGCCTCTGCTTGAGCCACAATAATTCCCTAGAAACTTGGGCACCATATGTTAACCATTACTGCCACACGCCCTAAAATATGACATCTATAAAAAGAGACATGTATTTATAACCCTGTACTTTACCTCCTGGGGACCTGCTTTTTCTCCAAACTTGAGTGGTGAGTTTGTTTAATGTGATCATGTGAACAGATTGTTGTCCCCACAGGATGATTTAATGCAAGCACACGCACACACAGGCCCTCTTACTTACTTTAACCCTGATTCTTGTGCTGCAGCACTATAGACTGCTCTCAGACTCCAGCCATTGATCTTGCCAAATATTCTAGTTGGTTTCAACCGAATCCAGCAATATATGTAACTTCCTTCCTCGAAACAAAACCATTGATGAAAAGCGCTTGTTCAGAAAATGTAATTGAATTTGTTTAATCCAAAATCCATCTAGAACGTGCATTGACATTTCCCGCCCGGTAACCATGGTTTTGTTTGGAAAATGTGATTTTATTTTTGTTATTTACCTGCATTACATAATGTTGTTCTATGACATTGAGATGAAATATGAAGTTGCACTGCAGCTTTATGTGACTTTTAGGTGAAAAGGCTGTACTTAAACAGTAATTGGATCCTACAGTGTGGTTACACTACACTCGCTGTTTGCTAATTACAGATGATAGTCATCTTAAAATAGGAGATATTCTGTTTCTCTGGCATCACAAAAATTATAAACAGGTGAATCAGTGGTCTTCAAGGGGATTACTCTTCTTTTTCTATCTCGGTTTTGACTCATCCTGGTCTTGGACTTGGACAAATGTCACCCAGTAACTCTAGATTTACTCTGAGACCCTTACAACCCAAACATAAGAATCACAGGCTGTCAAGACCAAGGTCCTGATCACACACACAAACACACACACACACACACACACACACACACACACACACACACACACACACACACACACACACACACACACACAGGCTAGCTCTTTTTCATCTGTGACAGAAAATGCCCAGAATGGGTCTTTGATGAGTAAGTGATAGAGTTAGAGATGCCGTAATGAAGTTTCATTCGGCTGTAAAAGCAGGAAGGAAACATCTCTCAGGTACAGTATGATGTTATCATGTGGCCTAATGGAGTCACTTACAGGGTTTTAGGAGCATGCAACAACCCTCATGGTCTCAACTAAGTGTCTTTACATTGATTTTCTGATCACAATACATCAGATAATCACATTGTTATGCTGTCCGCTGCTGCAGGTCTATTCCTGCTATGTTTCTTGGTTTTTAGCATAATAGTAACTGTAATGATGCTTTTGCCTTAATTGTGGTGTTTTGCTGTCTGTTTGCTTTTCCTGAACACCCAAGAACAGGTATCTCCATGTGCCTATCAGATGTTGTTTATAGATGCTTTTATCCAAAGCACCTAACAGCTCTGAGTGCCTGAATTTGTAGCGTGGGTGGCTCCAGTAGAAATCTGCCTGCACTCTGACAGAAACAGTCTTTCATAACTCACAGAACAGCCAGTTTCAGTGCTAAAAAATAAAGAAAATTCTCACTCAGAAAGTTGAAATTGTTCCGTAGATAAACCTTTGTTATCCATTAACCTGCCCTGTTTCGACATTAAAACCACAGGCTTCTTTTAAGGTTTGTTTGGACATCTGTCTCAAAGAGCAAACACATACAGAGACACATCCACGCGCACACACATACATTTGGTAGCTTCCCAAATGAAAATCCAATTTTCAAACCAGGCTGTACCTATTTCATATCAAGGAACAGAGATGTTGTTAGGAAATGACTTCTCTATGCCTGCAGGATCAAGATAACAAATTTACATTCTTGAATTGGCTCTCATGCACAGATTAGATACTCACAAAGGGCGTTTTGTGACTTTCAAGGCCAAATGGGGAATGTAAATTAAGTCTCTAGAGGTGTAGGTGACCTCGATAGACGCTCCTGTTCAACCTGTCAGGTCAGATTTGATCAGAGTTAAGACTTACGGGGTCACTTAAGATGTGGGCGAAGAGAGTAGCTCAGCAAAATAAACATTTATATGTGTGTATATGTGTGTGTGAGTGTGTGTAAAAAACACTTAAAATGATACTATTTATAGTCTAATCACATCTACAAATTATACAATTATACTGTACCAGTTGGTTTACAGAATAATGTGCCAATTTCAACTTGTTGTTCCTGATATGTGTATGTGGGACTGCTGTACATGTTTTGAAGAGGTTCTCCACACTTAAACACTGGTGTTAATATTAACATTCTTACCCAATTTGTAAAAATCTGCATTTCATGGGTAGAAAATGGCTCAATACACCATCTACTATTTTAAATCCACCTGAACCAACAACAAAAAAATACTCTGTGAATTTACATGTCTAATGTAAAATAACATAACAAATCTGTGACTGTAAATAATCATAAAATTACTATTTATTTAAAGAAAATGTCCTTTTTTTCACATAAAAAGACGATCAAAATACAGTTGGAAATCTTTTTTTGCAGATATTTATTATTTAATGAATTAAACAGTTAAATTCAAGTTAAATACTGTTAATACATTTCTAAAATTATATCAAATTAGTGACAATTTACAGTAAAATAAGTTTTAGTTCTGTAATTTTAAATAATTTTAAGTAAATTTGTTTGTTATCCCCCAGACTTCACTTAGAGTGGGAGTCTATAAAACAGCTGCACTCATTTTCAGATGTATGCAGATCGAGATACATCATTTACAGGAGTTCATGCTCATTTTTGCTAACACATACCAGATGTTAGCCTCTCTGAGCTGTTAGCTTAGCTACAACACAGGTACCCACAGAAACCTTTTCCAAATGGCTACAGATGTGCGGTTTGGTCAGCGTTGAGGCCAAACCCCTAAAGTTGCTGTCCTTTGCAGGTCTCATGCATTTTTAAAATTTACTGCGAGGGAGGGAACTAGCAGAAGTGAAGGGTGTAGTTACACTTTAAACACAGCTGCTGCTGCCTTTATTTGCTCACCTGTCCACGCTCAACGCTCAAAAACACACCTGCCAGGTGTTTACATGCTGACAGTTACATATGATTTTGCATCTGTAACTGTGCAGGCGGATGAATGCACACACAAATAGGAATCGACATCACTAAAGGGCAAAATAGTTGCAAAAAGAGGCTAATTATTTCATAATCTTTGTGTTTACCAGGTATTGTACAGATTTGATTCGAGCCTGAAGCATCTGTGAGATAAATATCCAAAACCAGACAGTATGGAGACTCCGAATTCATCCAACACCAGCAGTGGTGACAACGCCAGCCTCTTCTCTGGAAGTCCATACACGACTGTAGAGACTGTACTTATCGTCCTGGTGGCTGGATCTCTGAGTCTGATCACTGTCATTGGAAACATCCTGGTCATGCTCTCTATAAAGGTTTGGGTTTTATTTATTTATTCTGATCTTTTATGATTAATGAGTGTGTTTCAAGCATCTATCTCTGGACATCTTGAAAAGTATAACCAGACTTAGAGATAAGAATACAACATGTGCAACCCTGTGCAGAGTGGTAATCTAATAGAAATGAGAAAACGCACATCAAATTGCACAAAAGAAGATTAGCATCTGACAGCCTGCTCCATGTTGTTTCTCTAAAGGTAAACAGGAACCTGCAGACTGTCAACAACTACTTCCTGTTCAGCCTGGCCTGTGCAGACCTCATTATTGGCGTCTGCTCCATGAACCTCTACACTGTCTATATTGTGATTGGCTACTGGCCCTTGGGAGCAGTGGTGTGTGACCTGTGGTTGGCTGTCGATTACGTTGTGAGCAACGCCTCAGTCATGAACCTCCTCATCATCAGTTTTGACCGTTACTTTTGTGTCACCAAACCGCTCAGCTACCCAGCACGCCGCAGCACCAAGATGGCAGGCCTGATGATTGCGGCGGCCTGGGTGCTGTCCTTCATCCTGTGGGCTCCAGCCATTTTGTTCTGGCAGTTCATCGTGGGCGGGAGAACTGTGCCACCAGGTGAGTGCTACATCCAGTTCTTCTCCAACCCAGCGGTGACATTTGGGACAGCGATAGCTGCTTTTTACCTACCTGTGGCCATCATGATCTACCTCTACTGGCGCATCTCCAAGGCCAGCCGCAGCCGCGTGAGGAAGAACAGCAGGAAGACTTCGGGTACTAGTGTGGGAGAAGGACCCTACCACAGCCAGGAGGAGGCATGTGAGAGCCAGAACAACTGCATCACAACAAGAGGAGCTCAGGAGGAGGCTGGAGATGAGAAGGAGAAGGAGCAGCAGCTGAACGGAAGCGGGCCCTGCAAGGAAGACCAGGTGGACTCCACAGCAGACAGCATCCACGCTTCAACATCTAAGGACAGTGAGGCCCCTGTGGCGGCGCAGAAAGGCTCAGAGAGAGCGAAAAAGACCAATCAGACACAGCCACCTTCTCCGGAAAACTCAGCCGCTGACAGACAAAGTTTGGTCACAAGGACACTGTTTAAGGTAAATTTGATACATTATGATTCACTTAAAATGATCAATCACAAATTTGACCAAATCTTTATTTTCTAGGCAAGACTGTAGGGCGATGTCAGTCTGTCCACCAATTTGGTCCAGACTGAAATACATCAACTATTGGATGATAAAGTTTTATACAGACATGCCACATGATACTACATCCCAAAAGGATGTAGGTTAGTAACGGTGGTGATCCCCTGACTGAGGTTGACATTTGTGGTTTTGGGTGAAATGCCTCAACAACTATTGGATGGTTTGCCATTAAATTAGTTTAATTAATTAGGATCACTTTTTTATTTACATACATACTTTCATTTACTTTCAATTCATCATCAGGTCAAAAAGTTTAATTTGTTGTATTTGGTTTATTTAAAGTCCAGTGTGTAACATTTAGGAAGATCTGTTGGCAGAAATTGAATATGATATTCATTAGGTATGTGTATAATCACCTGAAAAAGAGAATCTTTGTGTTTTAGTTACCTTATAATGAGCTGTTTTGTTACCTTTTGTGGAGGGTGTCATGTTGAACCACCATATTTCTACAGTAGCCCAGACCAAACAAACACTGGTACTAGAGCCAGGGCTGTTCCATAGTTTATCCCCAGGATGGGCTGACATTTGCCAGATGGCCAGAATAATGAGTCAAAATATAAGCTAATGTTGCTTTTTGTCTGCTAGATGTGTAAATAAGCAACAGTTTGCCATATCAACTTTTATGGGGTAATGTCAGAGTTGTGTTTACATATTACAATGAATAAAAATGTCCTCTCCTTCTCTGACTTTCCAGGTAACGAAGCAGAGTGCTGTAGCAAAGTGGAAAAAGAAGGGCATTTCTTCCAGGGAGAAAAAGGTGACTCGCACCATCATGGCCATCCTGGTTGCTTTTGTCGTTACATGGACGCCGTACAACGTGATGGTCCTGATCAACACTTTCTGTTCCATCTGCATCCCAAACTCCCTCTGGACCATCGGCTACTGGCTCTGCTACATCAACAGCACCATCAACCCGGCCTGCTATGCCCTCTGCAACGCCACCTTCAAGAACACCTTCAAGCACCTTCTTCTGTGCCAGTACAAGAACATACGTACATCACGATGAGGGCGAAAACGCTGACTTATTTTTGTGATGGAGTCAAATAATGTGATAAATTATGTAAACTGAGATGACACAAATATTGGAGAGAACGTGTTGTTAAAATATAGACATAAGTGTGTTATTATTGTGCACTTTTTCAGTGGTAGAACGTATTCCCACTGGAAAAATTATAAACTGTACATTTATTATTCTACCACGGATTGATTTTTTACAATATATGGCATTGTATTAAAATTCTCAGTACAGTCTGGTGGGAATGCAGTTTATTGTGAAAAAGTACCTTTGACTGGCTGTCAGTTGGGGTTTTAATTTGACAGGATGTTTTTATTTTTCCTCCTACATGAGCTTGTGCAGTGTGGTCTTTGAACCTGTTTTTATCCAGACAGTATAATTGTGGTGAACGTGATGGTTTTGTGAGCAAAACAGTGATTTTAAATCTAGAATAAAAGTATAAGTTTAGTATAAGAAGAAGATAATATACTATAGGAAAAGACACTGTATTATTGACAGCGTTGTGGCCGACTGTGAAACAGGAATAATCAGCAAAAACTGACAAAAGCAAAGAGTGACTGAAAGACCATTAGCTGCTGTAACTGGACTGTGTGTGTGTGTGGGTGAGAGAGAGAGAGAGAGAGAGAGAGAGAGAGAGAGAGAGAGAGAGAGAGAGAGAGTGTGTGCATGTTTCCTCTCTGGTTAGATTCACTCATATTAAACGAATGACGTCTGTAATCCATGTTGTCGTGAAATGAGCCCAATGTGATATTTGTCCATAGCTTCCCCTCTTTCTTCATATAATAATATGTTTTCTGTAAATAAAAGTGATGAAGACGGAACATTTAGTTTGGTTTTCTTTGTCATAACATGTCTCAGATGTGCTCTGAATTAAACTGGAGGTAGGCTAGAGCAAAGAATAAGCCCACTGACCCTGATTTATTGGCTCCACCTTCACATCTGGTTTTAGCTTGGCATCACAACCTTTGCCCAGTTTCCTGCTGGGCTGCTGCCTGATGGGAGGAACTATACACACTGCAACGCAAAGAGCTGCAATACTGCAGTAGTGTGTGCACTGGAGGAAACAGAGGAAACCCAGAGGAGAGCAAAGCTGCACTTCAGCTACTTTAAAAAAAATCTTAATATCGCACTGCTGAACTGGAGACGGTTGAGAAAAACACGACATCTGTCACAGTGAAGTGTGTCGACTCGTCTCTACAGGAGCAAAACAGGAGATTAATAGAAACTATAGCTTTGTACCCAGTTAGAATGAAGCAAACTATATATATATATATATATATATATATAAAACTATCATAATCTGTTAACATATTGCACATTTAATATTAGACTAGAAGACGTTTCCTTACCACAATAACTAATTAAAAGTTGGATGCTACCGTGAACACCTCACTGACCACTAACAGGGACATTTTTATAACCCTCCCAATTTAACACCAGAGTCAGAAATTCCCACACTGACTAGAAATGGGCAACAGAAAAAGAGAGAGCGAGAGGACTGGATACAGTATCAACCCCCTCTGCAGTGTCATAAACCTCTTCTGTCAGAGAAAGACCAGATGGAGTCAAACTGAAATCCTCCCACAGTCTTCACACTGAGGAAAGAAAGGACAGAGGGTTTCTGTCTCAGCTGTGGGAAAACCTCTTTAGACAGCTGTGGAGCTGTTGTGCCCTCTAGTGGAACAAACATTATGTCTCCTATTAATCCTCCTGAAGCCTCACTACTGGAAAACCTAAACATTTGAGACGTGTATGTAACACTGTGAAAGAGAACATTTAAAAATGTGACCTCCTGTGTGTGGATACTGTGTGTTTTTACTGCAAGCAACACAAAAATGTAATGCTTTCTTTATTAAGACAAGTGTTATAATGACTCCCACCACAGTTACAGGTTGAGATCAGTCTCTCACTGATCACCAAACATAACTTCACTGATGACCTCAACTTAAAAGACAGGTTTTTAAAGTTTCATGTCTGTCTTACAGCAACACCCAGGTGCCCATAAAACAGGTTTTACTGTAATCATTCCTCCTGTTCATACTGACCATTAAAAGATCGCTTCCTAATGTGATTTCAGTGTAATGAGGGGCAAAATCCACAATCTTCATTCTGGGAAAAATGTGTATAAAATTTATAAAGCTGATGTGAGGTTTCCTCAAGTAGAGTTCCTTCTTAGGTTACAATCTTTTTAGTAAAAAAATTCCCTCTTTTTTTTTGACTATCCTTCCACTGTAGCTCAGCAGGGAAACAAAAAGAGTAAAAACAAGGAAGCTGACAATTATTTTAAAGGACTGGTGTGTAGGATTAAGTGGTATCTAGCGCTGAAGTTGCAGACTGAAACTGACTGAACACCACTCGTGTCTGTATTTGATGACCTGGGATTGAGAACAGGCTGTGAAGTGTGGAGGAGAAACTATGTTGGCCACAAAACTTGAGAAAATGCGAAAGGCTTTATCTGCAGCCAATGTTTGGTTTGTTAGTTCTGGGCTACTCCATGAAGACAATCCGCAGCATCTAAACGGCTCATTACAAAGTAAATTAAACACAACGATTCCTATATGCAGAAAATTATACACTAATAAAAACATTCCTATGAATATTATATTCCATTTTTATCAATAGATCCTCATAAATGTTACACACTGAAGCTTTAAGAGAGACTTAAAAAACATCATAAACATATTTTTCACTTATAAAACCACATTAAACTTAAAACCTTAACATTGTGCATTTCAAATCTGAAAACTACATCTTTTATTTTGAGATATCAGTGAGTAAATAGGCCATCTCGTCTTTCAGTCTGACAACAGACAGGTCACCATGGGGCCACTACTGATGCTGGTGGGGTTTAATGTAAACACGTAACCCTGCCTGTTTGTTTGCTAAGTAACCCTCTGTCTGCATTGCACTCATGTCTCACTGTGTTATGAGCCAATGTTATCAAAGACAACACAAAAACAAAAAAGTGGCTCTGCAAGTCCAAACGCCCGAGGTCTTGAGTGATGAACGTTCTTCTTTTTAATATAAACATGAGACCTTTTGGTACGAAAGACTGTATGTTGACATCCACCTAAATGGCACAAGTGTGTTACATTCCTACATTTCCAGGTTACATTTCTTTCTGTAAAAAAGAAAGCAGTGCTCACATCAGTGTTTACCCTGCACACACAGCCTCCAGGACTAATTATCTACTTTACATTTAGTCAAAGTAACCCAATAACTGCTGCTGTTTAGTGTAAACAGACACCTTGCAGGAGGAAATATCAGATGTATGTGGGTAAGATATGGCTGACGTGCCACCTGCTCTGCCTGTCAGATCACCTGAGCAGGAATCTAATTCACTTCATTACTGGCTGCTAGTGGAGTCATGGCCGAGGAAAAGGACCAGACGGGATCCTCCTGGGACGACCTGCCGCTGCCCGATAAGTATCCTGAACCACATAAGGAGAACAGAGTAGGGCTGAATGGAGAGGCAGAGGAGGGTGCTTCTGCTAACCCCGTGGAGGAAAGCACCAAAGATCAGTCAGTGAAATGCAGCCCGAACCTGCTGCAGATGCTCAAGGCAGCAAAGAGCTGGCGGACAGCTCAGGGTCGGGACAGAGAAGAGGTGTCTGAGTCTGAGACAGAAGAGACAGTGGCTGAAGCTCGGAAGACTGACATGGTGAGCAAGAAGACTTTTACACTTCCTGACGTTGACTGTGTCTGTCAGGCCTGTCCAGATCAAGATGTTAATTTGGCATCTGTAAGCGTACTGCACAGGAAGCGTGAATATGCATATACTCAGGTTGTTAATGATCGTAGTTGCAATGTGCAGGCCTCTATGAATGTTTGACCAGTACTCCCACATACATATTGCACTCATTTTGTCTCTTTGAAAAGACAGAGGAGACTTAAAAGGGAAGTGCAGCAATTTTACACATCAAAGTCTTTTACAAATCTTTGGGAGTATTGAAGAAAAAAGTTGTATGAAGCTGTCTGTGGCTCCAGAAGTCGAGTCAGCGTCTTATATACGTTGATGTTATTGACCAGGAAGAAGAATGTGTGGAATAACAAATGATAATATTTCTGCTATTTCTGTGTTGTGTGTCCAACAATGTCGTGAGCAATGCAATGTTAAACTGGTGTTGTACTCTTTTAAACAGACACTGCAGCACTTATGTATATTTGGGGGACTTGTCAGAGATATCTTTTAAAAATAAGGGTCAAAATCAAAGCAGGAGAATCCAATACACCCTGCCTTTTTGTTCCTTGTGTGGGTCGAGCTCCAAAAACACTTACATTTCGCATAATGCAGCTGGAAAGCAACTTTTATTAAAACCTTCCAAGACTAATCCGAGATAACCCTGATGACATCATTATGACATCATCTTAACTCTGACTGTAAAATCGGTGGAGTATCCCTTTAAGAGGCTTTCAGTAACAGTGCAGAGCTTCTTTTTGTCATTTAGTGAACAGAAAACAACGACAGTCTGCCGTCTGTCCCTGAATGCAACTTTAAAGCTCACTTAGCTGGTTCTTCTGTCCCTACAGCTGCTCTCTTCTTTCTCTCTCTCACCAACAAATTCTGTTACGTGTTCATGAATGTGCATCTCTTAACTGTCTATCTAATGTATACCCTGAGAGCAGAGTGCACTTTATATTCATCTGCAAGCCTCAAGTAACACTTGGCTGAGCTTCTCTTTTTATACCCACTCTCTTTCATCTCCAACCTGTTCTTCTATATTTTCCCAGAGTTCCCCTCTGTAAACCTCACAAAGACTCCATTTGTTTCCACTGTCTCCTCTCCACCTGTCACCTGGGTGAGGGTGTGGCATAAAGCGCCGCTCTGTGAACTTTCTGATCAGTTCAACAGCATCAGCTTGCAGCTCAGCAGAGTTACTGTGGTCAGTGCGAGAGCCAGCATGAAGAAAGTTTACAGTCTAGTGAACATAACTAAAGCGAAGGACCAGGAGGCAGTGCAGTCCATCTGCATCAAGGTATCACTGCTTTTGTTCTGGAAGTTATTCTCTTTATGGGAAAAGGTTTTTCAGTTTTCTTTTGGAGGGCAGTAAGTCAGGGCTTCATGTTGAATTAGGTTGTTTCTTAACCACTACAACTAAGAACTTTCTTGTGTTTTATTGAGAAGAAAACTTCTAAGCTAATTAGAAATTCAGATTTTTCAGGCAACAAAACAAAACTTAAATAGTTTCCCAAGGATGCATTTTTTGTATATACATTAAGACCACCTTAATTAAAATGATAATTGGCTTTCATTGTACTATAAGAGTAGCTGGCTTGAATTCAAACCTATTTTCTGAGCCCTGCGACTAACGTTTCGTGATCATTAAGTCACACCGCTCCAAGCCACAGTTTATTTTGTGTTAACGATTAAGCAGCTGCTTGAGTAAGTGCCTGCTGAATTCAAAAGATTGTATCCAAGTGATTATTACTTAGAACCAAATAAGAGTTAAACATTTGTCTTGAATCACCAACAGAAAATGTTATAACATAGAAATTATGTCATAAAAATACACAAGTGGAACAATAAAGTGAATCAGCTTTAGATGTGTCATGATGGTGATTGATGACAGATTTTCTTTCAACTTGTTGTTGATTGATTAACGCAGCTTTATGGTCCTCAGTGTTTGCTTGACAAGAGTAACTAAGGTCAACAAAAGAGTACAAACTGTACAAATTAAAGTACTTTTCTAGTGCATTGTGGGTTTATTTGTTGCCTTTTTAGATAGCAGACAGGAAATGAGGGGACAACGAAAAAAGTAATATAATATATTAAAGGAATAATATAATCAGAGGAGAGCATAGTGCCAATAAATCCCCACAGAGATCCTCATTACAGTCGTTCATGATCATCTCAGGTTTAATCGCTCCTAACGAGGATTTGGGGACTCACTCTGATTAGCAACATCACATGAAAGACGCCTCTGTTAATCCTTATTGATAGTGATGCCTTTCCCTAATTCAGCTTTAATGAACGCCATTAGTCATAATTGTAGAAGACTTGTCAGATGAATATTGAGACTTTTATGATGACCTCATGGAAGACAGCCAAACAACTGATTCTGTACTGCGTGAGATTTTTAATTCACACCTCGAGGATAAAGGTCACTTTGTTATCATCACACACACACACACACACACACACACACACACACACACACACACACACACACACATATATATATATATATATATATATATATATATATATATATGTTTTTCTTCTTTCCATGTTATTTAGTCCTAACTTCATATTACTTCACATTACTTACTATTATATTAAAAGTAATGAAGGACTTAAAGGGAACTCCAGCTTTGTTTTGCAGGATATTTTCTCAAACTCTCTGATAATCTATAATAATATTCATATTTCTATGAGAATAGACCCCATTTACAACATAGTGGGAGGAATGTAAGTTGGGTCTTTTTTGTGTTTGTGTGGAGCTTAAATATGTTTCCTTTAATTTGCCCATTATGTTGTAAATGTGTCAACAACACCACTGGGTTTATTCTGATAGGAATATGAAACAATGCTTTTCATCAGAGAGGCTGAGAAAATTCATGGTGCTTGATCACAAAAAGTCTTATTGACGTCATCATTTGTTAGTGGTGAGCAACAGCACCTGTATTAAAGATGCATGAAAACATCACGAGCCATGCTTCAGTTAAGCGTTACTTAAGTATGTTTTGTGCCCTTATTATAAAGTGTTACCTTCCTTTGGTAAATGCCCACATCTTTCAAACTGGGTCATTGGTGAAACATTGATTAAACTGACCTTTATGTGTGAAATTATGAGAGCAAATGCCTTAATTTGATCCAGCAGTGTTTATTTGTATAGTAGTATAATAAACTTGCAGTATATATATATATATATATATATATATATATATATATATATATATAGTTCCACACAATAATAATAATTATACTCATAATAACTTTATTTGTATTATACTTTTTAAAAAACAGTGTTTACAAAGTGCTTTACATAGACAGAAAACCAGCAGCAATAAAGAATAAAAGCAATATGAGATATACAGATACAACCAAAAACAACAATCAGAGATACTATTAAAAAGAGATTAAAACCCCCGAATATACAGCAGTGTGGGCTGAAATAAAATGAAAATGAAAAATAATAATACAAAAATACTTGGGAAATAAAAGCCTGTATATGTAAATCCCTTCTGAGTGCAGAGCCGCCAACTAAACTCGGCAATGATCCCATCAAACATGGGGCCCTAAAGCTCCAAACACTCTATGTTTATCGTTTGGAGGCGGGGGTCGGTGTGTGTGTCCGTGTTGGTGGGTGTGTACTTGCGTCCGCACACGTGGGCAACGAAAAAGAACAAAAGCAGAAAAATCCCCAATAATAAAAGCAGGGGATTGTAGTAGGAGGGAATAAGCCCTCAGTTAAGCTTGCAGATAGTTTTTTTGGGGGGGTTTTTGGAGCTGGACTTTTTGGAGTAGCTTGGGCTCAGGCAGCAGAGTAAGGCGAGCAGCCAGGGAGCGGACATGGCCAAGTGGGACTCTGGTGGCAGCAGCCCAGCCTTCAGACAGCCACAGTGGATGGTGAGACTGCAGCAGATACAGGGACGAGTCAGGAGAGGAGATCTGTGATAGTGACAGGCTGTGTGCAGAGTATTGAGTGTTTTTTTATGTGCAGTTTTGGCTCCTATGACTACATGAAGATGATGAGACTTGTGTGACCTGCAGTGAAGCAACAACTCATACACTTGGTGCCTTTATCTGTCTGACTCTGTGTGTTTGTTTGTGTCTCTTTTTTGACTCCACAGCAGATACAGTTCACTGACCAGAAGAAAGACTTCAACAAACGCCTCACTAAGACCGGTCGTCGCTCTCTGTCTCGTTCCATCTCCCAGTCGTCTACAGATAGCTACAGTTCAGGTACAAAAAAATGAAAACACACACGCATGCCATACACTCTTAAGTCTGATCACATGTCTGTGATATATAACATGAGCTGGTTCTGATCCGAGCAGCGCAAGAACTACAGGCCCAGAGGATTAGCCTTCAGCGCTTTCTCCTTCAGCTCAACCTTAATTAAAAGCAAAAGTCTTCTGAAAAATTAAGTCTCTTTAATTTGGTCCTAATCGGCTCTGTAAGCCTTTCTCAAACATGTCAATCACTGCCAGAGTTTATACAGACATCAAAGGCTCAGAGGAAAGACACACCTAGCTGTAGTCTGATTCCTGAAACAATAATTAAGGTTGGAAAACCAGAGCCAATTCACAACTTTTAACAAATCATGTGTCTCCCTGTCACTCTGTTATATTTAAACTATGTTTGCTTTTGCACGTTACATCATATCAGCGGATTGTTTTCATACACAGTGCCTAATTTCTGTGTTGCAGTGTGCAGCGACAGCTCTGAGGATGAGTCTTCTCCAAGAGACAAGCTTCAGAAGAACTCCAAGGGCCTTTCTGACTTCTGCGTCAAAAACATCAAACAGGCCGAATTTGGACGCAGAGAAATAGAAATCGCACAGCAAGGTAAAGAGAAAGCCATAATAAGAAAATAAATATCATTTATATAGCACACATCCAAGAAGAACACAAGAGGAAGAGATGAAATGAGAATATTAAGACATAAATGATTTATGATTGTCTGTGATGTTTAGAAATGCCAGCACTGATGGTCCTGAGGAAAAGAGCAGGTGGGGAGAAACCCCTGGCCGGAGCTAAAGTGTTGGGCTGCACTCACATCACTGCACAGACAGCCGTGAGTTCAACGCTCACACATACTGAGAGTTTTACTAAGAATATAAAAGTAATAAGGTAATCCGTCAACTTTTTTAACAAGACATCACAAGTAGGCTACACACTCTGCCTTATCACACTGCTCCTCTTCTGTTGGGAAAAGTTAAGTTTAAGGTTTTTATTTTGACTGACAAAAGAGATTTCCTTTAAAATGCTTTACAGTTTTTATTCAACTAATCGTTATATGCAGAAACTCAAGAAAGACATTGATGTAAGTTGGACCTTTTGTGGAGACCTCAGAGAAATGCATATAGTTTTGGTCTCTATAGAGTAAACTATCACACTTTATTGCTGATCACATCTACCCTCACATCATGTTACTGGTTAACAGAAAGACAAACTTTTCAGAGCTCAATGTCAATATCAAACAATACATTTCTTACTATATCTATCTCTATACTTCAACGGAAAAAGAGGAAGACACTTAAATGTATAACCGTTAATACTTTTATTATTGATGTTGGGTTTTTTGTATTACCTTTAATCCCCCTGGCGTATCTCTGTTTATAGACTCAAGCTGTAAACACAAGATGTTTGTACTTGTTGTAAACTTGCCTCTATAAAGTTTGAGTGCCACGGTTGCACCCTGGTTGTGGCTGATTATTACAAGTTCTCATCAGTCTTATTATCTACATTGCACGATTCTTCTCTCATCTGCATTAGAAATAACAGAGTTATAATAAGGTTTAAAAACACTGTCAGAGGGTTGAACTATCTGTTTGGTCTCCTGAAGGTGCTGATTGAGACTCTGTCTGTGTTGGGGGCTCAGTGTCGCTGGGCGGCCTGTAACATCTTCTCCACTCAGAACGCCGTGGCTGCTGCTCTGGCTGAACAAGGTACAACCGTCTCTACCTGACTCATCTGGGTTTTTTGTGCTTCCTTGATTTCTCTTTTAACCATCACTTCACTCTGTATCTCAGGCACCTCTGTGTTTGCGTGGAGAGGAGAATCAGAGGACGACTTCTGGTGGTGTATTGACCAATGTGTCGGTGCTGAGATCTGGCAGCCCAACATGGTACTGAGATCAAACCCTCCATGATCTGTGACAAAGATGTTCTGGATGTTGGGATATGGCAAAGACAGGACAGAAGTCATTATTAAAGGGCCAGTGTGAAACATTTAGGAGGCAGAAATATAACATAATATTCATAGGTATGTTTTCATTAGTGTATAAACACCTGAATATAAAGATCATTACATTTTTGTTACATTAGACTGAGACATTTTTGTCTACAGACGCCACGGGGCGCCTTCCTTGGAGTCTGTTGAACCGCCATGTTTCTTCAGTAGCCCAGAAGGGACAAACAAAACACTGGCTCTAGATAGGGAGGGAGGGAGGGAGTTGCAATCTACAACTACACCGCTAGATACCACTAAATTCTACACACTGGACCTTTAATTATAAGATTCACCCCAGTGAAATTAAGTTTGGTGGCATCTGACCTCACACTTCATTCTTATTACATTGTTTTAATTATTGTCTTATTATTACAAAACTGCAGTTACACTTCTCAGTTTTAAAGTTAAATGTTTTTTGCAAAATACACATCTGCTTTGTTAAAGCATATTTAACATTTTAAACTGACATTTTATTTTTGTACAGATAAGTACAAGAATTATGAGCAAAATAATATTTGCAAAATGTAATGACAGAAAAGTTTCTTTCTGAATATATAGACACTGTTTATTTTAAGATGTTTGGAATTTCTGGGTAAACAAGTCATTACATGTGAAAAGAGATCTTATTAATCTTTTCAAATGCAACTATTTTATGTTACCTCAAGCTCCACAAACCAAATTTCATTGAGCTGAACTACAGCCTACATCAAAAAGCCAGCATACCACAAAGGAAGCGGATAGATATGTTAAAACTAAGTTTACTCTGTGTTTGGGTGAACTGTGCCTTTAATTACTTTTTTGCTTCTGTTTTTTCACTCTTGTCAGATTCTGGATGACGGTGGCGACCTGACCCACTGGATCTACAAGAAGCACCCGAGCCTGTTCAAGAAACTCAAAGGCATCGTGGAGGAAAGTGTTACAGGCATCTATCGGTTAGTACCACACGAAGCTTGAATGTCGTTCCTACAAGGTGACAAAGTCTTTCTCTTGCTCACTGTCTGCCTGTGTTTCAGGTTGTACCAGCTGTCAAAGGCAGGCAAGCTGTGTGTCCCGGCCATGAACGTTAACGACTCAGTGACAAAGCAGAAGTTTGACAACCTTTACTGCTGCAAGGAGTCCATAGTGGACGGGTAATGAACCATGTTGTGATCTTAAACTGGTAAAATCAGGGCAGACAACAGCCTGACTGTGTTGAACTCTTATTTTAGGTTGAAGCGAACCACTGATGTCATGTTTGGAGGAAAACAGGTGGTGGTGTGCGGCTACGGGGAGGTCAGTAAGAAAATCTCCAGTGCCACTGTGCACATGTGACAAACAAAATATTTACTGCATCTAAGCAACAACCTCTTTTCTCTGTTCTCGTAGGTTGGCAAAGGTTGCTGTGCTGCCCTGAAAGCTCTGGGTGCTGTCGTATACGTCACTGAAGTGGATCCCATTTGTGCCCTCCAGGCTTGGTATGAATGGAGGAAGCTTTTAACAGCACAGATGTGAAGTGTGCCTCTTTCAATGGCACACTGCAACAAAATATTGCAAAGAAATAACCCCAAATCCTTTCCCTCCTCCTCTTATTAGCATGGATGGCTTCAGAGTGATTAAACTGAGTGAGGTGATCAGACAGGTCGACTTGGTCATCACCTGCACAGGTAACTGCTGTCCTACTAAATCAAATGTATTTATAAAGCACATTTAAAGGTCCAGTGTGTAACATTTATTAGGGTTTATTGGCAGAAATTGATTGAAATTGAAATAATATTCAAAGATGTGTTTTCATTAGTGTATAATTACCTGAAAATAGTCTTCTGTGGCAGCTGCTATGTTCTTACGGTAGCCCAGAACGGACAAACCAAAAACTAGCTCTAGATGGGGCTATTCGTATTATTTGTGCATTTCACAGCCACTGTAGTTTCTCCTTTCTCCTCCTTTGAAAAGGAGGGTGAAGCGAGCAAGTTGCAATCTGAAACTATGCTTCTAGATGCCACTAAAACTGGTCCTTGTTGACCAAAGCGCTGTACAGACCAGAGCAGGTAGAGAAAATACATGATTAAGAGAAAAACAAATGAAAAGAGACACAGACAATAAAATCAGCAGGAGGAAGAGAAAAAGTAGGTTTTGAGCCTGGATTTAACATTAAGTAACATTAACCCTTATTATTAATGTCAGTATAATAATATGATGAGTGTTTTACTTCATGCAGGCAATAAAAACGTGGTGGGTAGGGAACATCTGGACAGAATGAAGAATGGCTGCATAGTCTGCAACATGGGACACTCCAGCACTGAGATAGAGTTGGTATGAACGTAGACTGTGTGTGTGTGTGTGTGTGTGTGTGTGTGTGTGTGTGTGTGTGTGTGTGTGTGTGTGTTATACATGTTTTTATGTGTGTGTATAAACCTGTATATACATGTGTGTAAAATATGGACTCTTGCTTCTCAGGCGAGTCTGCGGACTGCAGAGCTGAGGTGGGAGCGTGTGAGGCCTCACGTGGATCACGTTATCTGGCCTGATGGAAAGAGAATCGTCCTGCTGGCTGAGGTGATGATACTGTTGTTGTTGTTGTTGTTGTTGTTACACACCGAGCAGCAGGAGATAATGTACAGAAACCTATTTATTGTAAACTATAGTCCCACAGTGTGCTCTGAACTGGGGTCTTGCTGCACATTATCCTGTTTATTAAACAGTAACAGCAGCCATTTTGAGTGCCTACAAATGATACATTGCACCACATGGAGCCTTTCATTACAATGCTGCTTGTGACTTTCATTGTTTATTTAAATTAACATTTCAGGGAGTGGAAACATTTTTCAGCTATCAATGTTTAACCAGCTGGCTAGCTATTAAAGGTTTCATAACACCTTTCCATAATACTAGCCTGCAGTGTTACACACACTGGTGTCTTTGTTACAGCTCTTTAAAGTTTTTAACTTTAACATTGTAGTTTCAATGGTTGTTATTATAAGGTTAAAATCAATAAAGTGCGGTTAAGGTTAGATCTTTTCCTGCCTGTACCTGGATATACTCACCTGTCCAGGGATAACAAGGCCTCAGCACGCAGAACTGAGTTTTCAGAACTGTTTCATAATGATTTCTTACAGCTCACATGTGATCCAAAATGAGTTGAGCTCCAGGGACAGACTCACTCGTTCACTGTTAAAGGATCAGGTGTGCAGCTGTAGACACAGAGGGATATTTAAGGACTACACTTTACATGTCTTTAGGTTATTATCAGAGTTTTTTAATGTTTGCTTTAGGGCCGTTTGTTGAATCTGAGCTGCTCCACGGTGCCTTCACTCGTCCTCTCCATCACCGCTACAACTCAGGTTTGATCACATGTTATTTACTTCAAGGTTTTATTTATTCTTTTCTAAATGTATCACAGAGGAAGTGTCTGTAGTCATTTTGAGGCTGGTGGTGGTCACCTGTAGCTGTGTTAACAGAGACTTTCACTGTTGTACTTCAGGCCCTGGCTCTCATAGAGCTGTACAGTGCTCCAGAGGGACGATACAAACAGGACGTCTACCTGCTGCCAAAGAAGATGGGCAAGTCCACAGCTGAAGTATCCTAAAACAATTGCCACCATATCTTTATATTCAGGACTGACGAACCCCTGTATGTTTTATAATTTCAGATGAATTTGTAGCCAGTCTTCACCTGCCGACATTTGACGCTCACCTCACAGAGCTGAGTGATGAACAGGCCAAGTACCTGGGCATCAGCAAACATGGACCCTTCAAACCCAACTACTACAGGTGAGGACAAGTATTACACACAAACAACACACAGATTATGTATTGTTTGTGTATTTAACAGATTATTTTACTTTAAAAATAGGTATTAACGTTCTGGAGATAAAGCTGAAAGACTTCAGACATGCTGTTGTGGATTTTATTTTGAAAACCCCCTCACGGTCCTGCAGACACTGACGCCCTCTACAGTCTGAATCTGACTCAGTATTATCAAGAGAGTGGATGAGGAATACAAACCTTTACTTTAATTAACTTTTCTATGTATGAGCGCCCGTATCTGTTTTATGTTTTTGTTCCTTGTTATAAATATTCAGTTTTCAGACTGTAATCAGTGTAAATTCTTATTGAAATGAAGAGAAACACAAAGTACTGAATGTTATTTACTCTTCTCCTTTATATAATAACAATACTATTTCTTAACTGAAGCAACAATCAATAACATATATTTAATTTACCACATGTAAACTATAAGTTGACAGCAAATAATATCTGCTCACATTTGTACATGTAAAATAGTTTTCATCCACTATAATCCTGATTTAAATCTAACATCTAAACATGACATTAACCTTAAATGAAGCCTCTAGTAATGAAGCACGCATAAGATATTATAATAAAAAGAGCAGTTTCTCCCTGTGTCTGTCTCATCATTTAAATAGCACAAAAACAGAATTAATGTGTGCAACTCTGAACAGTAGAAAAACAACATTATGAACAATAATTGAATCTGTTGGGTTTTTAAAATGATCTCTGCTCACACTCATTATTTATACAACCACACAACCCTGTAAATACACGTTATATGTCCACTAAACTCACCACACAGTGACAAAGATGGATCTGCAGCTCAGTCAGAGGATCTACAAAGACTGCACAACCGTATACTGTGGGTTAGTGGTTCCCAACCTGAGGGTTAGGACCCCCAGTAGGAGTCACCACAACTTCATGGAGGGGTCATGAGGACTTGTTGATTTCAGGGTGTGTAAGAAAATGTAAAAAATCATTCAATCATTAATGCAACCTTTATTTATTTCTCAGGAATACATAGAAGGGTAAACCCTCATTTTCAATGGTACAGAGATTACATTAGACAACAAAAACAATAAGAAGACAAACATCAACATTATTTGTTTGTATTTGTTTAGTAATTAAAAAGATAATCAGATTCCACAGGCAAACACATTAAGATTAATAAGCGTATTTCTAAAATATCAATGTTATCAGGGAATCAATATTATTAAAGTGCATTATAGTTTATTCCACGAGTCCGGAGCCAAAAATCTAGAAACAGTCTTTCTGAGTTCTGAGTTAACCCAGAGAAAACTAGAAATATAGACAGTAGGTCTATATCTCAGCCTTTTGTTCATTTCTGTGAAGAAAACTATTTGCAGTTTTAAAGTTGAGATTATTATTTAAGATCTAAACTTTTAAGACCTGAACTAGACACCCTCGTCCTGCAAAGTTCAACAATCAGAGCTGATAGAACAATAACCAAGCCTCAGAGAGAATAAAACACAGGATTTGTCACAATAGAAAGAGGCCTATTAAGTTGTTATGATTGTTAGAAATGAAAAAAATACATAATACAGACAGAGAATTGTTTTAAAATCCTTAAAAACTTTATCTGATATAATTTTCACAGGAAATAATTTGCTCAAAATTCACTGAATCTCTCGTTTTACACAAACCTCCTGCAGTTATTGTGTTCACTATTTGGGTTCATTGTACAGTTTATCAGATGTTCTGTACTGTTGTTATATATTGAATATATTATGTAACTTACTGAGGGATCATCCATTTACTCAATAATAGAAAAGTGGTTCATTAAGGAATAAAAGGTTGGGGACCACCGGTATATAAGTGACAATTTGCCCACTAGGGGGCGTAAGAGCACTAATATCTTTGAGAGATACTTTCAATATGTATAATTGCTTTTATTTCTGGCATTTAAAGGCCTTTAACTGTTTATCCTTTTGTTAATATATTTAGCAGAAGTATATTTTGAATGATCCTCAGACTCACACAGTCCCACCATACTGAGATAAAAGCTAAATCCAGGATCCACTGGCAGATGGATGAGGGTTCGGGCCTACGTGTGCCTGTGTGTGTCGAGCTACTGTCCTGGAGATAATCTGCAGGATGATGAGGTCTACTCACCTAAATAGCGTCGCTGAGACATTTTGACATGTCACAGTAGGAAAATAACTGGTATTGTGCATGCTGGCTCAATGTCACACTGTCCCATAGTCATTGTTAATGCTGGCACAGTTTTCCATTAGGGATGGGGGGGGGGTATTTAGTATTTAGTCAAGCTATTTACTCAGCCAACAGTAACAGCTGTCTTACGTGTAACATTTTTTTTTTTAAATAAGAGATAAAAACAAACTTTTAATTCCAGGCTCTTTTGTGGGCCTCTGTACTCGGACACAGTATCCCTCCCTCACAGTGGCACACTTGTTCTTCATCTTATGTCATTGATACAAAAATCCATCCACTGCTGTTTAATGGAATATGATTTAAGTGATATCTGGGTTCAGATTAGCAAAAATCTAAACAACTGAATGAATGTAAATGAAGCAAACTTAGACTGCTATTATAACGAAATGTAAGTTTAAAATTTGAGGTGGAAATTACTTTTATGAGACATCTATAACATATAGAAAGTAATCTGCCCCATTCTTTGCACCAAATGAGTTAATTTTAATAATATGACAACTGCCTAAAAATCCACTTTAATAAAGATGAATACATATTCTCATATTACGATGTAATATTCAAAATACCCATTGTAGAGATGTTTTTGATAGAAAAGTGTCTAATTACCTCAGAAAAAATAAAGTGTGAGGCTTTTTGTTCCTATAAAGTGGATTCTGCCTCTCTGCTGTGATTATTGTGGGAAACAATATACACATTTGGATAAAGATATATTAAACCAGTGTTGTATTGTTAAAAAATGTTCTTTTTAATGTTGTTTACGAGGCCTTCATTAGGAAATATGCTAAGTGTCTATAATTACACATGGAGTCTGTACACTTACAGAGCTTTCTAAACAAATGTTAAATAACTTAACATATACATTGTCAACCAATTCTAGCAATAAACACAGAGAGAATTAAGAGTAAATAAAAATAAAATAAATAAACTAAACATCAGTTCTGTAAAAACTACAAGGCTTTTTTTATTATATATTTTGGAAAAAATCCATATCCGTTCATATCAGATGATTTATTGATACCAAATACCAATATGTTTGTGATGGGCCAATATCCGATATATCTCACAGTGTCTTTTTAAAACATGTAGAGTTTGGCCGCCATTTCTTCTCTGCTGCCTCATTTTAACTCTGTAAAAGCAATTAGTTATAACTATTAGTTCAATTTGTCTGATAAATGTCAGTTTATTTACAGTAATAGTTACATTGAAAGGCCACTGCATGCAATATTTGTTTAAATTCAGTTATCAACTGTGTAAAAATGCCCTCTTGTTTCCGTTATCTTTGGGGCAAAGTTTTATTTTTCATATAAGTTCACATCACGTCAAAATCCTCTGATGCTTACAGCAGCTTTACCGTAGCTTTACTTGCTGAATTAGCCTTCAGAATTAGTTTTGGTTCCTGCTAGACGCTACGTAATTAACTCTGTTCCAAGAAGATCCAGATGGTCATATGACAATCATTATCTCTTTTCCTCAATTGTTGCATCCTGTCTGTCTCTGATCATGAAGTCCTAAAAATACCCCCCTGTCCCTGGATTACTGTAATCCAGAGTCTCCCTGTGTGTGTGTAGCCTACCAAGGCTTGGCTGAAGATCCTTATTGAACTGTACACTGTGTTTCACTGGGGCAGCAGACTAAAGGTGAGTCACTAATGCTGCAAGAGAGCAACACTAGTGTGCTTGATGTCTCTCTTTCTCCTTCGCCTCCTCCTTCCCTTTTTCTAATAATTGAAACATATTATTTTACTAATTTACCTCAAACATCCCATTCGACTCTTTTCTTACCACCGTGACAATAAATTAAGTCCATAAAATCAGTCCACCAACATTATCCCCTTTGAAATATATTTGTACAGCAAATTACCCCGTGATCAACACAGCACAACCTTGTAATTGGAAAACACTTTTATTTCAGAATCCGTCACTAAATTCACGACAAACTAAAACACTGAACTGCGTCTTTTTGATAAGTTGCACGTTGCTGTAAAAACAAGGGCTTGTGCAGGATCTTCATCGTCATTCACTGCCAAGGAGGCAACAACAGTGATCAAACTGAGGTTCCCAGAGGTCTTTAGGGCAAGTGACGGTTTACAGCAACGTGGTTTATCGAACTGACGTTTACATTTTTTATTTAACTTATTGCAGTATAGTTATTTTAGGAATTCTTTGTGACTGATATTTTTTACATTAACACAAAAAAAACCCTCTCACACACCCTCTAGTACTCCATAGAACACCTAGAGGTACACGTACCCCCGTTTAAGAAACTAAATCATCCTAATTTCTCAATAAATTGACACCATGCTGTTGAGATTAGTGTCAAATACCTTTAATGTAACAGACAAGTAGCACAATGACACACGGCACAAAAGAGCAGCTGAGACACAAACAAATAAACGGCCATTAGTGTAAGAGATTAATGAGGAGATCCATTGACTTCCACACCCAATCTAATCTAATGACACCACTCATTCCCCTGTATTACCAGTATCCCATAGTCAGAGGGGGGTTAGTGTGTGTGTGTGTGTGTGTGTGTGTGTGTGTGTGTGTGTGTGTGTGTGTGTGTGTGTGTGTGTGTGTGTGTGTGTGTGTGTCCTGGGGCAGAGCTGCTGATAATCCATTGGTTGGTGATGCATCTGAGAATGACAGCTGGCCAGTGAAGCCCATACGCTGCTGGACCTGTTTAAAGGCAGTTTTAGTCACTAAGGAAGTTCAGGATTCGGTGTGTTCGTGTTTGTGTGTGTGTGTGTGTGTGTGTGTGTGTGTGTGTGTGTGTGCCCTTGCCTCCTCCCTGTTAGGGATTCTCCCTAAAGAGCTTTGATGCCTTCCCTACATCACTACACGGGTCTAATCACTCGTACCAGCTGTCAGCATGTCGGCCTCCCTCCTTCCTCTCTCTCTCTCTCTGTGTCTGTTGGCACCACTTAACCTCACATCCTCTGCAGTCAGCCATAATGGACTCTCACAGCGTTCGTACTGAAACATGATGAACATACATCAACCGCTGATCGCTCTGACTGCTCAGTCCCGCACAGACACCTGAGGGGATGATGACATGCAGCAAAGGGCCGTAAGTTGGAGACGAACTCAAGCCGCTGTGGTAAGGACACCAGGTGAGCTATCAGGGAACCCCAAAATCCTTTTATTTCAATACGTTTTAGGCCAAAAACTTTAAGAATTTTGACTATAAATGATCAGAATCAGGTGTGTGAAGAGTGTAAACTCCTCCTCTAGATGTTAAAACTCACCAAATTCCCAGAAACAACACTTAAGACGTCCCCTCAGTGTCGTCACTGGTAGCTACAGCCGTGTAAAGCACTGTAGGGTTGATGAATGCTACTGTAACAGTTCATCATGATGCATTCTCAGAAGCCTCTGTGGGATTTAATGGTTTGACGCAGCACTAACATCACTTATGATGAA